GTGTATGAGAACAGGTGGGATCGGGAGCCATTGTTCCCAGTCTTGAAACCTTGCTTGAGGTAACAAAGCTTGTATGTGTGGAAATAATGAACAGAGAGAGAGAAAAAGGATTGTGGGTATTAGGTCTCAGCTTTCCCCCTTTTGTCTGGGAGCACAGAAACTCCACCCTGAAAGTTGGAACCACAATGAGAGGCAGTTTCTTCTCATAGTGGGACCTCAGAGGGCCAGAGCACAGCAAACACTTCCTCAAGCAGGTGTGGGAGGAATATGTTGTGTTTTTATGCATTCAGAGTCTAATAATCTTCAAGACCTGAACATTTCTGTAAGAGCGACCTTTTCTTTCTTCTGGTAGAAGTTGAGTCCTGGCTGCAGACGTGTAACAATGGCTTCTCAGGGTCTTCAGATCATGGGTGTGCTGCTGGCCTTCATCGGCTGGCTGGGCACCATCATCACCTGCGCTCTGCCCATGTGGAGAGTTACCGCTTTCGTCGGGCGAACATTGTCACTGCACAGGTGATCTGGGAGGGCCTGTGGATGAACTGCGTGGTCCAGAGCACAGGCCAGATGCAGTGTAAGGTGTACGACTCCATGCTGGCTCTACCTCAAGACCTGCAGGCCGCCAGGGCCATGGTGGTCATCTCTGTGATCGTCGGGGTGTTCGGCGTCCTCATGGCCGTGGTTGGTGGAAAGTGCACTAACTGCATGGAGGACGAAGTGGCCAAAGCCAAAGCCTGCATCGCGTCCGGCGTGATCTTCATAATAGCCGCTATGCTCATCATGATCCCAGTATCGTGGTCAGCTCATGCAGTGATCAGGGACTTTTATAACCCCCTGTTGTCCGCGGCTCAGAGAAGGGAGCTTGGGGCTGCACTTTATATCGGCTGGGGCTCTGCTGGGGTGCTGCTGCTGGGAGGAGGTCTGCTCTGCAACAACTGCCCCCCAAAAGACGGAAGACCCTACATACCGGCCAAGTTTGCTCCGGCAAGAACCGCATCTTCAAATGTGGATTATGTGTGAGTGTTTGGGCTGGAACTGCAGCATATGATGTCTCAAGATTTTCATTCAATTTTGTTAATGTTTCACCAAAAGGTTGCAGAAAAAATATCTGTTTCATGAGGTAATTAAAATTGTTGTTGCTCACAAAAGCAAGAAATCTGCGTTGCTTAAGATCTGTGTATTTGTTTGATTAGGGAAGAAAATCCTTCCTCAGAAATTGTGTTACTTTTTAAACTCAATAAACAATTTGGAGCATTAAAGTAACAAAAGACTGCACAGTGAAATATACTGTCTGCTTATGTCCCTATCAAAGGTTGACATATACAATGTAAGTTAGTTTTTTCTTTGATCTTGTTTTTCACAAATAAATATTTACCTTACTGTGAATCGAAAACCTGTAACATTCCTCTGAATCAATAACTTAAGGACTTGTTTCATTCATAAAGACTGAGAGTGGCGTAACACTGTACATCTTAATACAGACAGCCTTTATTAAATTACTGTATTCTCTAATGTTGTAAAGATGCTGCCCAAAATAAAGATGAATACAGATTTTTTTAAAACTCTTGACTCTTGACTGTGTGCACTTGAAATCAGTTGTGAAGTTCTGTTTTATTCTGCTGTATAATCACTGCTAAACTTCCAATTGTCTTTTAGATGTCAGAAATAAAGCTTCTTTGTCCATACTGTTCCCGACTTCTTCCTTTTTTCGTGTTCACTTTGCACCTGCACTGTAACAGAACTGAAACTGAAGTTCTCAATAACCTTGTGATAAGGCATTCAGGAATTCAGGGGAGTAGACTCCTGGGAATTTACTGTATCTGGTTGAGAAGTTTGCCATGCTGTAATCAAGTGCCCTTGTATAAAGATGGTAATTTACTGTTTCTGTCTTGAGTAAAATGGACGTTACTGCCAGAGACAACAGTGCCTTGTGTATGCTTGGATTCATGTTGCCAAGGAACTGTTTTATATCTCCAAAGAATGAATATTTACACTTTGCCCACTAAGAGCACATCTGCCAAGTCTTGTCAGGTTGATATATCCCAAACCTATTTAATGGGTTTCTTTGTCAATTGAAACCAGTCTGACAAGAAAAACAATACTTCACTGTAATGTTTCACTTTGTGTCTTTCCTTTTTGGCCACTGAGATCAGTCCAGTGGTGTAAGAATTATTCAGTTTTACTTATAGCAGTCACACTGTAAACGTTGACTACAAGTTTAAAGCATTAAAAATCATATTTATTTATGGTTAAAAGTACAGAAAAAGAAAAACTTTAAGTGCAGTTGTAGTGTAAAGTACTCATTATGCAGAATTGCCACTGTCAGTATACTGTAATACTGGATTATTAATTATGATGTATGAATGTGTAAGCAACATTTTACTGTTGTAACTGGTGGAGCTAAATTTATCAATTTTATATAGTTGAATCAAATCAGTTTTACTTATGTAGCCCAATATTACAAATCACAAATTCATAAACCAGCCAGCTGCATAAACTGATGTAAAGCCATGTAAAAACCAAAATTTTTATGTAACTAGTAACTATAATAATTTGCATAGAATAATAGTTCTGAAGAAAAGTACCTCAAAATTTTATTCAAACACAGTAATTATAGTAAGTAAATGTACTTTACATTCCCCCTGATCACGCATATTAAAAGAAACATTGCTGACAAAAAATACTGTTTATTGTCTGCATGAAAAACAAAATGAAAATGAAGATTTCACATGACAAATACATATTTTTATGAAGTGCTTCAGTCACAAAAAAATCAGGAGAGTCTGAGCCAGATTGAATTAATATCGACATTCTAATACAAAACAACGTAAAAAGAAATTAATCTGCAATCCTAACATGGCACATACCTTAAAGTCACTTGTATGTTTCAGAAACAATAGGCCCCAGTTTGTTAGTAAAAAAAAAAGTTAGTCACTATGCAAATCACAACTTGATAAGCAACCGGTTTGTACTTTGAATAAAATCAGGTGCTTTTTCAAAAGCTGGTGCCTCTCATGTAATGCAGCAACTCAGACAAATTCCTTCCCGGGTGTTGTGGATTTAGGCGCGGAGTACTTTGCTCCATTATAGCGGTCTCCTCCTGACGGGCACTGACAGCAGAGAAGAGCACCACCGATCAGCAGTAGTCCTGATGCTCCCCAGCCCATGTACAAACACGCACCCAGCTCCCTCCTCTGGGCGTCTGGAACCATGGGGTTGTAGAAGTCCTTGATGATAGTATTAGCAGGCAGAGACACGGTCACCAGACACAGAGCACCACTCAGGATGAAGAAAACCCCGGCGGAGATGGCCACTCTAGCTTTTGCTACCTTGTCCCCAATGCAGGTGGTGCATTTCCCTCCGACCACAGAGAGCAGCAGGCCGAAAAAAGAGAAAAGGATGGCGATGACCACCATGGCCCGAGCTGCCTGGAGGTCTGGAGGCAGGGCTAGCAGGGAATCGTAGACCTTGCACTGCATCTGGCCCGTGCTCTGCACCACACATGTCATCCACAGTCCTTCCCAGATGGTCTGAGCCACCACAATGTTGTTCCCAATAAAAGCAGACACCTTCCACAGCGGCAGCATACAAATCAGTATGTTTCCAATCCAACCAAGCACTGCCAGCCCGACGCCCAGAATCTGCAGCCCTAAAGATGCCATTGCTGTTTTCTGATTGCTGGTGCTCCTTCTATTTCTTGCTCCGTCTCAGTTCTTCACTGAGCTGCCAACTAAAAGCTCTCCCACTGTCGAGGAGGTTTATATGACCCGCAGATGCCCCCAAGAAGCCCCCTCCTCTGGGTGGGCTTTGGCTTCACTGTTCAGATAGAAACATCAATCTTGCTACTGAGTTCAGAGGAGTTTCTCTCCTACAAAGGCCCTCTGGTGCCCCAGCAGAGCGTTAAAGAAAGAGAAGAAGCTTAGACAGAAGGGTTCAGTGAAAAGCTTGCTACAGTAAACGTCTGATGTTATGAAGTTTTGAAAAGTTGAAACGTGTAAATCTAACTTTATGGTTATATATATATATATTGTAGAACATTAACTTTGTTTAAAATATGAAAGTTTTCTACATCAAAAGTCTCAAGTCTTTTGCAAACCATATAAAACATAAATTGTTTTTGTATAGTAGCCCAGAATTGACAAACTAAATAATCTAGATATGGCCTTTTGCGTTTTTGGGAGTTTTATGGCCACTGTAGTTTCTCCTACATTCTTGGAACAGGAAGGTGAGGTGAGAGGTTGTAATCTGCAACTACACAGCTAGAAGCCACTAAATCCTACACACTTGACCTTAAGGTATAATTATAATTGACACAATAACCATTAAACTACCAGATTAAAGTAACAACCACATGCTGCAATTGCAATAGAAGAATTAAAAAAGATATTTAAAAGTCAAAAAAGATTGTAATTAACTACTTTTGCACTTTTTTACACAGAAAGAAATCAACTAAAAAACTTCATGTATAAAACTTAAAATGTTATTTTCATTTAGTAGTACTAGAACTACTAACATCTATACAATCTATTCCTGTAAGGATTTTAAGTTGTAATATAAGCAAATATTTATTCTACCGGGAATATCCTTTCTCTTTTTTACCCTTATCTCTGTTTGGATACATCTTTCTTGTTCATTTTAAAATGTGTTTGGCTCATGCACAACAACTCAGCTGAGGCTCAGTGGCTAATCAGCACAGGTGAGATCACTTAGCTTGATAGCTGCACTTGTAACAGAACATGAAATAAGGTGGTAAGCAGACATGTTCATGGTCTTTATTGACACTTAAAAATGTAAAACGGGAAAAGTGTTGTGACATTTTGCAGGATGTTGCACCTTGGCAGTAAAAACAAACTTATTTCTCCCTGTGGTTGAGATGAAAATGAGCCAATGAGCTAGACACTACCGGACTAACTTAACGACCACAGGTGTTTTCAGTTTGAACAATTTTGACTGACCAATCAGAAGAAACCACAACCTACCATGTTGGCATAAAAGCTGCGGGTGCGAGAGCAATCTTTGTATTTCATTGCTTGTGCAGTTGATTCCTCACACGGCCTCTGAACAACCTGAAACAAACATGGCTTCTGCAGGTCTCCAGATCTTTGGCATCTTTCTGGCATCCATTGGCTTTCTCGGAGACATCATCATCTGTGCCCTGCCGATGTGGAAGGTGTCTGCTTTTATTGGGAACAACATTGTGACAGCACAGATCTTCTGGGAAGGCTTGTGGATGAATTGTGTGAAGCAGAGCACCGGACAGATGCAGTGCAAGGTCTACGACTCCATGCTGGCTCTGCCCCGTGACCTGCAGGCGGCACGGGCCCTGGTTGTCATCTCCATCCTGATCGTCTTTATGGGAATCCTGCTTGCTGTCGCAGGAGGAAAGTGCACCAACTGCATTGCAGATGAAGTGGCCAAGAGCAAGGTGGCCATTGTTGCGGGGGTGTTCTTCATCGTCGGTGGTATCCTGTGCCTGATCCCTGTATCATGGTCTGCTAATGTTGTCATCAGGAACTTCTACAACCCCATCATGATCGACGCACAGAGGCGGGAGCTCGGAGCGTCGCTGTTCATCGGTTGGGGATCAGCAGGACTCCTACTCATTGGAGGTGCCCTTATGTGCTGTCAGTGTCAGCAGCGTAAGGATAGCAGATACTCTGTCAAATATTCTGCCCCACGTTCGGCAGCCAGTGGAGGAGCCTATGTTTAAAATGCCTGCAAGTATTCTGAAAGTCTTCATAGCTTACTCTGGCAAACTGGACTGAATTCCTTTTTTAAGTCATGTTTTATCATATCTTTAAATCAAGTGTTCTACTTTTTAAATAAATTTAAACTTCATAATCACGGTTTTCTCGTGTGTGGGGGGGGGGTGCATGCATGCTACTGTCTTCAGTGAAGACAAAGGAAAGTTTTAAGATGGTTTGGTCTTGACAAAGCCTTGATTGGCTGACTTCAACTTAGCTGGTCTGGGTCCCTCGTCTAGTTTTCTAATAAGTTTTAACAACCAAAATCCCGTCCTACGATGGCTTTGCGTCTCGTTCAGTTGAGACCAAAGTTAAATCTTGACATCTCTCTGGTGGGAGAAAATACAAGCCTAAAGTGTTATGCCAGGTTGTGTGAACTTGAACACATTTGAAAGACTTTACATCTGCTGCAGAAAGCAAGTGTTAACTGTCAAAATTCTGTATCCCAGAGAACCGGTGTTCTTGAGAGACCCTGAATCTATGAACTACCTTGTACACTCTTTACTAAAGTCTATTAAGCAGTACATTTGAGATTTTGTTGAATTGCACTTTTAAAAAAAAAAAAAATCCTTGTTGGAAATTTGGTAACTTCAAAGCTACTTACACCAGTGCTTTTACTACTTTGACAAACTGCTGTCTTGGAAAACTACTCACTCAGCTAATGTTGCAAGAATCTGCAGCTCTACTTAACTCAAGTTGTCCAATTATGCAAGGCAGGTTGGTTATAAAGGGGCTGAGTCAATGGTTGCAAAATAGTGGCACTTCAGGGGGGAGGAAATATAAGTCATGGTATACGCTAAAAAGGAAGTGTTCAGTACATTCTGACGCTAACACTTATGTAACAAGTGGTTTTTAAATGCTTGAGTATAGCAAAATGGGTACTTTCTTCAGAGGTTTAATTCGTTCACCCTGGATTATATTGTGTTTAGTGCGCTCTTATTTTGACATGAAGGCAACATGAGTTACAACCAAGATTCACTTCACTTTCACGGAGCTGATCATAGTATAGACTTTGGTGGATATCTTTATTAGGTACAGGTGTAACTATGAACAGTATTGGCTCTGTCATTTCTCAGTGAGCCAGCATGACCAATAGACTGACAGAATGCTTTGACATGTCAATGTCTGTTTAAAAAAAAAAGGCCTATCGGAAAGAGCTTAAACATGTCAACATAAGTAATGTCAGTTTAGTAAGTGATCTTACTTTATATTTTAACAATTTTTCAATCCAAAAGTGGACAATTTATATTTATCCATCATTTAATAGTTTTGTTTAAATGATAAATCCCCTCCAAAATATCATGAATTACCATATCTTTTTTTAGTGTCATGATTTTTGTACTGACTATTTTGTTGTATATCCAATATATGTAAGCTTACATAGATAACCATGAATGTATCTGTGGAAAGGTGACTAACTCTGCCTACTATAACCTCAACACATTATACATTGTTTAATCCATACAAAAACTGAAGTGTAAAAACAACTTATTTTACTTGGTGTTTTGAGACTTCTGGTAGTCTTGTCAAGGTGCAGCTGTTTCACTTTAAGTTTTTGTGCCAAGCTAAGCTAACCGGCTGCTGATTGTAGCTTCATATTTATCTTACAGAAATGCGTGGAATCAATACTGTTATCAAACTCCCAGCAAGAAAGTGTATTTCCCAAAATGTCAAAGTACTGGGACAGGCAGTATATCTGATTTGTCTACACTACATTTCTCAAACCAGGAAGACGCCTTTCAAAATATCTTGTTTCTTTTCATATTATAATCATGTGTATGTATATGTTTTAAATTGAATCCCACTGTTGCGCATTAATTGAACAGGTGCTGATAGAGGTACTCCTTCTTTTCATGTATTGGCTTCTCTCAAGTGTTTTTCTTTTTTTTTAACCCCCCAAGCTCTGTACAAGTTAGAAACTTTTAGGAAACATTCATACAATATGTAATTTCAGGTTTAAAGTGATTCTCAGATAAAGTCTGAACTGAAGATGTGAAAGCGTGACTTAGTGCTTCAATCCATTTAGAATTTGTGACCAAAGCCTTTTGTTTTGGTGCACAAAGCAGTTATTCAAGCATGATTGCTTTTGTTAACAGCTCTCTCCTCCTACTTCTTCACAGTGAGCAGGAATCAGGACAAGCAGGAAACCTGATCCACAGAGTAGCAGAGTCCCCTCCCTTTTGCTCTTCCTTCACACACCTGCAGTGCAAAACCATTCAGCAAAACACACAGCAAAAAAACATACAGCCGAGTGAAAGCCTCTGGTAAAAATGATCTCCAGCTCAACAGAAGGTGAAATTTGTTGCTGTTTTTGAATTTGTGGCAAACATAAACACCTGCCTTGGATTAGTTTTTGTGGCAAAATGCGGACTCAGCTCGTTGGTCTGTGTTTGGCAATCATCGGATTTCTTGGCACCATCCTTATCTGCGCACTGCCAATGTGGAAGGTGACAGCCTTTATTGGGGCAAACATCATCACAGCTCAGGTCTTCTGGGAAGGTTTATGGATGAACTGTGTGATCCAGAGCACGGGTCACTCGCAGTGTAAGGCATACGACTCTGTTCTGGCTTTGCCACAGGAACTGCAGGCTTCCAGGGCTTTGATCTGCGTCTCCATCGCTGTCAGCGTGGTGGCCATCGGACTCACTGTGGTCGGGGTCCGCTGCACCAACTTCTACCGTGATGACTGGCTGACCAAATCTAATGTTGGCCTGGCTGGAGGTGTGGTGTTTATATTAGCAGGGCTCCTGTGTGTTGTACCTGTAAGCTGGTCAGCTCACAGCATCATCACAGGTTTCTACAACCCCCTGGCCACCCAGGAGAGGAGGGGAGAGCTTGGTGCTTCCATATATGTGGGCTGGGCGTCTGGAGCTCTGCTCATCATTGGAGGAGGGGTTTTGAGTAGCACCTACAGATGCTGAGGATGAGGAGAAGAAAGCGAAGAGAAGAGTATGCGATGACATCTATCAGATACAGACTGTAGTAAAATGTACAAAAATGTATTAACTGTGATGGACCTTCTTTGTTTCAGTCTTAGATCAAAGCTTCTTTTCAACCTTAGTTAAATTGCACTATACTGACATTTTACAACAAATCAGTTCCTTAACTGTGTAAAACATTATGAAATCTGTAGCATATTGAAGTGTACAGCAAATTGCATGACCAGGACATGCAGTGTTTATGATTGTAGAGGAATGAAGATTTAAAACATGAAGGTTGAGCTAATAATTGTATATATTACAGGATGTTAAATGAAAAATGTTGAAAGGTCCAGTGTGTAAGATTTAGCGGCTCTATTTGCAGAATATAATATTTATACATATTCTTTCATTAGTGTATAATCACTTAAAAATAATAATCATTGTATTTTTTTTACCTTAGAATGAGGCGTTTTTATCTGCAGTGTCCATCCACGAAGTCCACCATGTTGAACAGTCATGTTTCTAGAGTAGACCAGACACTGGCTCTAGATAGGGCCTTTCACATTTGAAGGGGGGAGTGAGGCAAGCAATCTACAAATTCTCTCTTAGATGACACTAAATTGCACACACTGGTCCTTTAATGCAGACATCCAAGTTTATGTGAAGTGTTTTACTATGCATAGCACAAATTGTGAATTGAATTCTGAAAGAATATTCAGTTTTTAAGTCCTTGAGAGACTATTGGTGTTTAATCAGAATCTTAAACAGTATTTGTTTAAACTGCCAGTGTGGTAAGGAAATGTATGTTTATTTGCAACAAGACAGTTTTACTCAGAGACAATTTTCAATAATCTGAAACTGAATTATGCAAAATTATAAAAAGTTATTATTACTCTTTATCACTCTCATTACACAAGGGTTGTGAAAGAAGTTGAACTGTTCTGGAAACAACTAAAATGTCTCAGTTTCCATCCTTTTTACTCAGTATTGAGTTATTGAAGTATATATTTGCTTATTGGGTTCAGTTGTTTCCATCTTTTGCCACATGAAGTGGAAACTCATTTTTTGTAACTGAAAACAATAAAATCACTTTGTATTTTTGTAAAGAAGTTCTGCGTTTATTTTGTCTCTCGCACTATTATTTTTAAAAACAACTGCAGGTTTTTTAGCATACTGCAAGTTACAAAAGTCACCCTCCAGAGATATATGATGCTCAAATAAATAAACAGATAATAATAGACGGAACAAATATGTTAGTTTGAGAACTCCTGTGATCTACATCAGCCATTTCAGTTTGTATAAAAACCTGAAAAACCTGCTTTGGTTCTAGTGCCGAGGTATTTAAATAATGTATATTTACAGACACCTCACAAGCTGCCTCTCTAGACCACATTTGCACATTTCTGTTGATCTTTGTGTCATCTGACTACTTAACATAACAGCAAAACATAACCGCTGACAAAAGGATCTTCCTCTCTATTTCAGTAGAGATAAGACAAGGGGAATGCTTATTTTCTCCTTTGAAAACCTGTGAGGAAATCTTAAGACTTATAGAATTTGCTCGAGTCACTGTGGATTATTATTGGTGAATTATCTTTTTTTATTGTAGCTCTTGTATCTCTGGTTTTAATTTACTGCTGCATAACTACATATTTTTTTAATGGAGGGTCATGGCAAACAGATTGGGGGCTTGGCACTGGTCATGATGGGGGTTTTGGGAGTGTGTTTAGTGTGTGGACTGCCAATGTGGCGCGAGACATCTTTTGTGGGAGCAAATGTTGTGACTGCACAATCGGTAAGTTGATATACTGTACATCATAGAGAAATTAATTTCACTTACTACATGTTATTTTGAATCATTATATGATATTTATTAAATTAACAACAGAAACACAGACTTTCAAAACACAACATAAATGTTTGAAGAGAGAGATATATTTTTAACTGTAATGAATTGTACTTGTGTAGTTGTGCTGATGTTGATGTGTAGATTTTTCTATAGTCAGTGTGATAGAGACTATGCAATGGTATTGTGTGTACAAGAATGTTTTCAGTTTCTGTTTGTTCCTCCCCAGTGACTACAGATGGACATTAGCTTAAATCATCTCTTCTAATTTTGAGATGAATGTTTGTGTGCATTGTCCTTGTTTAATAAAGACTAAATTATGTTATGATAGTCGTGTACATTTATGTATGTCACAGTATAATGCTGGATTACACTGAAATGGTCTGTTTCCTTATTTACCAAAAAATTTAAAACCAAAGACTTTAAACTGAATTTGGACTTCTGCACCAAGAGTATAATTGAACATATAAGTTGCTACCTCACCTACATTAATAAATGAACATCCTGTCCAGCTCTTTAAAACTCACTGACGATTCCCTCTGTCTCTGTATTAGGTTTGGGACGGTCTGTGGTTACACTGTGTCTTTCAGGCCACAGGTCAGATGCAGTGCAAGAGACACACAACATCCATCACTATGACCCCTGACATCCAGGCTGGGCGTGCCCTCACATTGCTCTCCATCATCGCCGGCCTCCTGGGCTTCATTGTCACCCTCATCGGAGGAGGCGTAGCCAACTGTAGTGACGATCCACCTGAGCCCTTAGAGCCTCCGACCACCTCTTCCTCAAGAAAGAAGGTGCTGAATTTGTATTCATATTGCACAGACATACATTGTAGCAAGGAAATTATTCCGGCTATTAATTCTAAAATTGTGGGTTATCGGTCTTGTTTATAACATCTGTTAAGAATATGCACTATGTAGTAAAAAGATCAAAAAGAAGAAAAGAATAAGGCATTAAGATTATGACACATGGTCCTTCTGCAAGACAGTCAGAATTTAGTAAAAATGCAGAGGCCACCACCTTTACGATCTCAGTTTAGATTTTGCTTAATATGTCAAATAACCACAAACTTTGCCACACAGGGTTTTTGAGGCCAGGCAGTTGTCCAAGTAACCGGTTGGCAATCTTTAATATTTAACATGAGTATCTTCTGAAATGGTCAAGGTGTATGTAAAACCTTTTTTGTAAGCTTAATAGCCTTTATGTGTAGTGTAGGTTTTTACTGCGTTCACCATGATGGCCTCAATCGTTTGTCTGCAAACAAAAACATAAATGCCATGAAAATAAATTTAAATCGCGGATATCCTTTGTTTCTCCAGGCATCTCTGCTGGGTGGAGCTCTGTGTGTCCTAGCCGGCATCCTGTGTCTGGTTTCAGTCAGTTGGTCAGCAGCAGCAACCATCTCACTCTACAACGATCCCTTGGTGGTTGCGGCCCTGAAGAGAGAGGTGGGCTCCTCCATCTACATAGGCTGGGCCTCCTCTCTGCTGCTCCTGCTCGGCGGTGTTCTGATGTGTATCGTCTGTGGGGAGAAGGAGAGATCACAATCTTCGAACTACTCCTACACGCCATACAACATCAACACATTCAGTGACGGCTCATCCCGTATGGGCGGTCTGAGGTCTGATTTCATAAGATCAGACAGCCCCAGGAGGTTTGATCGTCACACGTCAAGTTGGACGGGCATGTACTCCAAGCATCCCTGAATAGAGCTCAGAGTGGGGTTGGGAGGTGTAATCAGCCTCAGGCAGGGGAGGATCTGGAAAAATGTTCATGGGGTGGCAGGAGGGTGGCATGGAGCCTTAAGGGGGGGAAGAAATATATGTTGATTTAACTGCAAACAATCAAATATATCAATATTTGCTTGGACTCACTTTTACCTCACAATTTTTACATTATTGTGGAACATTAGAGAAGCATTGAATAGACACATGTAAAGGTGGTAAAGGTTGTTTTAATTTCAAGTCTTCCAAAATATATTTTTCCTAATACATGTAATTTTTCATTTAATTTAAACCTGTTACTTAAGTCTGACATTTTGCCACAACCGATAATTAAATTAAATGTATCACTTTCTTTTTTTTTTTTTTCAAGTTATTTTTTAAAATCAATCTAAATGAATGTGTGAAATTTGACTGCATTTGACACCAAACTGGGGTGGCCGGGCATTTTTTAGAGGTGGCACCCCTCAAGACCCGCCCTTGGCCTTAAGGGACACAACACAACCAGGAGACTTTGGGAAGTAAGCTAACCCGTAATCTGTCAAACAGATCAGGGACACCAGACAAGGGTGAAAGGCTTATTCATGGGGATGAAGCCAAATCTGGTGTGTGACGATTGCAGCAGAGCCACAACTGTGCCAAGGGAATGTTATTACAGTGTGTCCTAAATCTGGTTGGTTGGATCTGCACTGATCATTGTTCTTTACTGAGGGTGACTGAACACAGGAATTACATAGATGTTAACAGTGAGTTTCTGTCATTGTCATTTCTGCTTATGTCAGATCAATAAAGTTTGACATCATTGTTATTATTATTCAAGATACCTGGCTTTACAGGCTGCCAGTGGATTAGTCATTAAAAGCTCATGCTGTACAGCCAAATATTGTAATGTTATAGACCAACTAAACCCAATTTAAATAAATAATAATAATAATGGTAGTGGCATTTTTTATTTAATGATTAAAAAAAACTGCACTTCCCTTTATATGCAGGACTGAGGAAAAGTTATTCAAATTATCATCATTTAGAGAAACTCCACTTTAATACAATGACTGATCTGAATGAAGGTCCACTACATCTTTCTGGTGCCACAAAGTGCCACAACATTAACAAAGTGCTAATGTTTCAGATTTGTGTTCAAGGACACGTTTGCCTGTTCAGTGAATACCTGCTGCATCCCTGCAGTCATGTGTGCATTCAAACACCTACTGTTCATGCCATTACACTCTGAGTGCCGCTAGTATCGATTGGCACTGTGATCACTCTGGAGGTGATGTGCTTTTCTGGGAACCATTTCAAAGCTTTTGATCTTTGCCAATCAGAAGAGTACCATTTATATTCACTGTGAATGACTGTCACATATTTCCGTGATACTGTAAGAAGTTAGATTTCTCAAGAGGAACTGCTTTACTCACTCACACACTCTCTCTCTCCTTTAGACTGATTTATATATTTTGATATATTTTGTCATACATACTATACTATAGTTATTATGTATTATATATGCTGTACTATTCTATATGTTTTTACTACTACTAAATCTCACGTTATATTGTATATTCCATACTTTTTTATACTGTACTGCGGGGGTCTCCGAACTTTTTGAGAGTGTGGGCTATCTAGAGGGAGAAAATAGAATAACATGGCGTTGTTAGCCAATATGACTTGAAATTATAATTGCAGGTGTCAAAGTTATGTTTTCTTTGTTTGTGATATTAACACTGAGGGATCTTATGGGAAATTTACACAAGATAAACCAATTAAATGATAGGTAATGAAAATCTAAAAGTGCAACTCAGAGAAAAAGAAAAGAAAAAGCAGAATGCAGAAGGGCAGAACAGAGAAGCATGGTTTCAACTCATGTTGTAAAGGCTAATCTCAATACACTTTTTAAATTAATCATTTTTATTTCAACTATATTTCTATATTAATACAGACAAACACTGAGTATCATTACCCATCATATTACTTATTATTGTGGTGTATGCTCTTTACCACCAGACTAATCACATAATTTTGTCTTTAAATGCTCTTGTATAATTTCTATTTTTTCCTCAATTCTTATTTATGTTTTATCTCCTATTATTTTTTTTGCTTTTTTTATATCTCTTGTATTCTTTTCCCTACTGAGTATCAATCAAGGCTTGTTGTATCTTAAAATAAAGTAGAAACTGAGATTGCTACACTGACATTTTTGAGTGTTGAGTCTTGGTAAGTCCCTCTAGGATATAATTAGTAACGTCCAAGGAAATACTGTGCTTCTGTACTGATGAAGGATTTCAAATAGCTTTTGAAAGGTATACAACAACCATGCTTGTGCATTGATGAGAAACATAATTAGTCCGTGTGCTGTATTTAAATTATTTTGTCCTTATTATTGTCCTTAAAGGGGCTTCTGTGTACATCTGAAACTTTTCTACTGGTGCTGAGAAGCAATGTGGTCAGGTGAGATTTCTTCACAAACCAGTTTCAGCTAAGAGGCTACTTCCGAAAACTCCTCCTCTGACTTCTTCTTTAACAACCAAACCTGTGAGTGACAAAGCCATAGTCAACTTCTCCTCTGAGCGGGCAAAAAACCACTACCCGTTCTTAGTAACACACAGTCTTACCTCTTTGAAGAGATCGACAGAGCCTCAACATGGTGTCTGGTGGAAGACAGATTCTGGGTATGGCCCTGGCCATCATCGGCTTTCTGGGGAGCATCATCATCTGCGCTCTCCCTACCTGGAAAGTCACAGCCTTCATTGGTGCCAACATTGTCACTTCTCAGGTGATCTGGGAGGGTTTGTGGATGAACTGTGTGACCCAGAGTACAGGCCAGATGCAGTGCAAAGTCTATGACTCTCTCCTGGCCTTACCGCAAGACCTGCAGGCTGCCAGAGCTCTCACCATCATTGCCATCATCATTGGGGTCTTTGGGATCTTTCTTGGCGTGGCCGGTGGCAAGTGCACCAACTTTGTGGAGGAAGAAAGGGAAAAGAGCAAAGTGGCCATCGCTTCTGGAGTCCTCTTCATCATCGCAGGCCTCATGGTGCTTATCCCTGTTTGCTGGACCGCCAACACCATCATTCGTGATTTCTACAACCCCGTCATGACCAACGCTCAAAGAAGGGAGCTGGGGGCCTCGCTCTACATTGGCTGGGGCTCGGCGGGGCTGCTGTTCTTGGGTGGGGCCCTCCTCTGCAGCTCCTGTCCCCCCAGAGATGAGAACGACTATGATGTGAAGTATGCCAAGGCTCGCTCTACGGACAGCGGCAAGGCCTATGTTTAGATCTAAGCTGGAAGCAGAACTTGGACAGTTTTATGGGAAGAGATAAGAAAAAGAGTTTATGAAAGTCTCACCTTCTGTTCGTCCCATGAACATGAGTCAAGTTCCACAATTTAAAAAATGAATATCTAAAATATGATTAAAGTAGATAGGAACATTTGCAGTATGAATGTGTAACTTAAGTATATGTTTTAGTCTTAAAAGGGTCATATGTGTTGTAAACATGCAGTATTTTTATTCTTTATGCAATGTTTTGTATTTTACACCATTATGGACACTTTCACACAGTTTTCCTTATATTGTTTAGTTTATTTTGTTTATTACTCACACTCACTCAGCGTGTTCTCTATAATGTGTTCAGAACATGTGTGTTAAGAGCTGCTTTATACAAAACAATTGTATATTTATGTGAAATCTGCCCCTGTAGTTACTGTTTTGTGTCTAAGTCTGATATTTTGGCTCTTCTTTCTTGATTAAAATAGTTGAATACTGATGATTATGTGACTTATTGAGATATGCTGTTTAAGTAGGATTTTCTTTGGTTGTTGTTTTTCTCTTTTTGTATTATTGTATACCATTAAAATGTAGGTCATTTGAGCATGTGTGGCTGGTGGTTTTTATTTTTTCAAAGGGAAGAACAGTTACAGTGGTGACAAATGCCAAAAAAACCCAGCTGAGCAGTGGATCTGGTTTTTCAGGTGTACATGAAAGATTCCTTACAAACAGGTTGACAATGTGTGTCCCTCCTGCTATAGAGACCTTGCTGAATAAACAAAGACACTGACTAATAACTGTGTTTGTGTGGATGTTTAGAGTTTGAATGTGCGTATGTAGTACTGCCTCTTTTTATCTGATAAGATGATCTGTTTGTAAACTTTTGCACAAGATACATTTCTTATGTCCTTTAAACACAATTATGTGAAAATCTAAGTTTGTCATAATGCTTTGGGGAAAAAATTAATAGACAAACAGTATCTTTCTGAACTTTACAAGGACAGCAAGATTAAAGATTATTTTGAGCCTGATTAAAAAGTTAAGTAGTGTGTATATTTGTGTGTGTGTGTGTGTGTGTGTGTGTGTGTGTGTGTGTGTGTGTGTGTGTGTGTGTGTGTGTGTGTGTGTGTGTGTGTGTGTGTGTGTGTGTGTGTGTTTGGGGAGGTTGAATGTTTCAAACTGGTTTTTCTGTGCAATAGCCACTGCTAGAATGAAACTGGTTTTCTCCCAGGAGATTGTGTTTCACATCATTCTTCTTTTGTTACACCAATACATTCTGCATGTATGCATTACGCACATGAATACATACATTGCCAGAGGATGTTTTAACACACACACACACACACACACACATATATATATATATATACTGAGCTTATTTTCAATCCAATTCAGCGATTCTGCAGAAAGATGGTGTCTGGCAGAGTAAAGCTATGGAGCGCCTCATTAGTGTGCAAAGTCAAACAGGCAGAAGTTTATCATTCTCATTGCTCTATCCAAAGCTTATTGTTTCCAAAATGATCTTGTCAGAGGAAGACAGTGAGGGAGGGGAAAAGATGATGTCACAGTTTCACAGCTACCTCTCTCTCTCGCTCTGTTTTTCTGTCAATCTCCTCCCCTTTCTTTCCCCAATAGAGTAGGTGTGGTGCATCTACACCTGTCCAGTAGCACACAGGCAGCCGCTCAGGTGACAGAAAAGACTCTGAGGCAGAGGAATTAAGACAGAAGAGACAGAGAGAGAGAGGGGGAAGGAGAGGACAGCAGTTAAGGATACAAAGGAGGAGGGGGAGAAGGAGGGAGTGTAGGCTGTAAACAAATGAATTGAGGCTGAAGTGAGACACACCTGGAGTCAAGGTTGCTGGAGGCTGAATAGTCAGAGTCCGACAGGGCTCTGCGCTGCTGGGATAGATTTTTCAAAGCACTGCAACAATGTCAAGAAACGGAGGTGTATGAGAATGGCAACATCAAATGTTGAGAAAGACTGACACAGAGAAGCTAGTCGAGATACAAGAGAAGAGAAGAGAAGAGAGGAGAAGAGTGACCAGAGAGATCAGGAGTGAAAACAAAAGAAGCTACACAGACAAAGAATAAAAACATCAGAACACTGTTCGAAGGTCTGTAAGGATTTCTCAAACAGCTTCAGAGATCTTCCCTCCACCTCTACATCATGGCCTCTCTGGGGATGCAGATGCTGGCCAGTGCCTTGTGCCTCCTGGGTTGGGCAGGGGTTATCATCAGCTGCATACTGCCCATGTGGCGGGTCACTGCCTTCGTGGGCAGCACCATTGTCACCTCCCAGACCATCTGGGAGGGCATCTGGATGACTTGTGTGGTCCAGAGCACGGGGCAGATCCAGTGTAAACCGTACGAGTCTCTGCTTGCTCTCAGCACAGACCTGCAGGCCGCCAGGGCGCTCACCGTCCTCGCCATCACCACTGGCAGCATGGGCCTCATCCTGGCCTTTGTTGGAGGGAAGTGCACTCGCTTTTTGGATGAAGAAGGAGGTGGCGTTAAGGGTAAGGTGGCTGTAGCAGCTGGGGCAGTGTTGATTGTCACAGGGCTGCTGTGTTTGATTCCAACGTCGTGGGCAGCCGGGGCCGTTGTGAGGAAGTTTTACAGTGCCTCCATTGATGCCCAAAGGAGGGAGATTGGAGCCTGTCTCTACATTGGCTGGGGAGCCTCCATCTTGCTTATTCTGGGAGGGGGTTTGTTCATCAGCTCAACATGCCCCCTCAAAGCACATGACGCAGACAAGAGCCCCTCTGTCCGCTACCTGGTGGTCCGCTCCTCCAACGGGTCCAGCCAGGCTGGTTCTCATCGCAGAGCGCCACCAGCAAAGTCTCAGCCTGTTGGAGCGGTGTTTCCCAGGTCCCAAAGCTACGAGGGGGCATCAAAGACAAGGCCTCCCTGGGAGGACGTGCCAGAGCAGGGCTTGAGGCAGGAGTCAGAAATATCATGGGCACCATCAACAAAGTCTCAGATGAAAAGACCAGAGTCGATAAAATCTGAACACAGTGAGGCACTGTCTACAAAGTCTCAGCTGAAACGAGCAGAAATGGAAGAGAATTTGTCAGTTGAGAGAGAAAATGAGGATGCATCCTCAAATCCAGCGAGAACATACCTGTAATATGGGGGCGCACACATATACACAAATGCAACATGTTATTTAGAAGTCGTAGTTTACTTATTTTGTGATTGTTTACTGAAGTATGGTTGTCTTTATACTCCATGTTGCTCTGCTCGAAGGACAGAAGGGAAAATGTCTGGACTACATTCCTCAAAATGCAGGAGAATATGTGATGTGCACTAAAACTGTACTTAAAACCAAATACAGAAACAAACCAAATTCAGGTGCAAATGAAGTATGCCATTGTTGTTTTCCTTTTCAAAAATGTGCTTATTTAAAGAATCATTAATTAATGATTGGCATTAATTTTGACATGTTAGGTTTGCCATGCTAATGTTCATATCAGCTTTTTCTCTCACTGTATAAAAGCACTGATGAGTACAAATCTGTCCGCATAAAGAATTTTATTTTACCTCAAACTTTTTAGCTTGTTTGTCTGTTTCCACCATCATTACTTATCATTATAATTTTTAATTCAAGTATGTGCTCATTTGATGAGCTCCTAGGCCATTAAAAATCTCCACTTGCTGCAAATAAAAAGTAATTCCTTTTGTGTTGCACCGGATGCAACACCGATGTCATGTCGATTTCTGTAAAGGCTTTGATTTTGCTTTTTGTAACAACTGTGAAATGTGATTTTATGTCTTCTTGATTTGGACAGATATTAAAAGATATTTGTAGGTTTACTTTTCAATAAATTACTGTAATTCTTTAAAGCAAATCGAAAGTGTTTTTAATTTATAAATTTATTAAACATGCTAACATGTCAGAAATTAGCTGAAAAGAGCCTTTTCTTTTAAAGTTTACAACAACCCTCTGGACCTTAAGTCCTCTTCCTGGCTATTAAAATCCACAGGACAAACTGGTTTGACAGAGAGTGTGGTAACAGCGACAGTGTTAGAGGAAGGAGGCACAATGTGTTTACAGAGGACGCCAACTTGGTTTCAGTGCATCATGTTTCTGTGATGTCTTGTTTTGGATTTGCTTATTCAAATGTGCAGTAGCATCAGTCATATGCTGCCACTTTACCAAAACAAAAAATACAGAAGTTTTTACTTTAGAGAACACAGGTACATGGATATATAAATGAGAAACTACAAAAATAAGTAAGTAATACACAAATAAAACAACAATGAAATAAAAAATATATAAACTTCATTTAAATTAAAACAGCAGGTAACATCACTGGATGGATGACAGACTCATCCAGAGTGATCTAAGAAACCACAACATCACAAGATGCACTACAGGGTCAGGTAGCTTTGCGGATGTTAAAATAATCTCATTCCGCAAAACTTATGTTTTGTGTGGAGTGAAACGTTCAAATGCAAGAATCTATATTATTTATGACTGCACCATCTCGTCATGTTTGGCCAAGGCAGGTCACTTCATCACGGAATGATGATCATTTTCATCACATAGTCTTGTGTGAAACACTGCCATCTTGCGGTCAGTGGTGCACATCTATCTATCTATCTATCTATCTATCTATCTATCTATCTATCTATCTATCTATCTATCTATCTATCTATCTATCTATCCATCCATCCATCCATCCATCCATCCATCCATCCATCCATCCATCCATGTCTGTATGTTTTAATGATCCAGTAGGAACCGAACTGATTACATTTTACATCAAATCATCATCATCATCATCAAATGTTTGCAATATATTTGGCACCTATTACTGCTATTGTAAAATTGAGTTAAAGGTGTGATAAATGGGAAAGAAAAGTGTTTTGGGACCATTGTAAGTCTTTATTAAAGTCTTTATAACAGATATAAAACAAAGATCCCTGTCTGGACTTAAAAAAGTCCAGACAGAAAAAATTTTTTTTTTTTTTAATAAAAAAAATTTTTTTTTTTTTTTTCCAAAAAAAAATTAGGTGGGTTCCTATAACAACTAAATCATTTTGAGGATAGTTTATGACAACTCTGGGTTGTGATTATTGACTTTGAAGTGCTTTCTGCTTCCACAACATTAAAGCCTCCCAAACAGTAACTTTCTGCACTATTGACAGAACTGTGCCTTGGGCTGCACTATGCCTCACATCTGTCTCTATAAGCTTATAGAGACAGAATTGAGAAGGGCGGTCATAAATTGTTACAGAAGATTATTGTATGCTTTTTGAGAACTCTCCCAATGTTTCCTGTTGGTGTGTTGTAGATATCTTTTCAGAGCAGATGACCTCTGCCCAAGCAGCAGATGAAATACTGATGGATGATTTTTGGTTTAGCCTGTGACATCCATCGGCCAGGCCCAAGATGACCCTGACACACAGCAGCCTGTGTGCCATGAAGACAAAACACCACAGCCTCAGTCAGCATGTTGATAAGCATCTCATAGATCAGTCTCCTAATTCCTTCTCCCTTCACACTTCATTCACAGTAACCCTATTGTTACTGTCTATTGTTCATTGTCTTACAAAGGGAAATTCTCAACTCAATAATAGCAAACTGAATCCAAAAACGTCAATGAATCTTTGATTTATCTGAATGCTGTTTTCAAGGAGGAAGTCACATTCAGAATTACATTAAATTAGTCTTGGAGGCAGAGTTTTTTCTGGGATACATCAGCATTTTCTAAAGAATCACAGTGTAACCAATAACAACAGAGTTTGTGACAAATTAATCACACAGCAGCCAAACAACATCGTTACAGTGGGAAGAGAAGGGCACCACTGAAGGTGTTGTGTTTATTTCCATTTCCATCTTCATAGAGAGAATGACCTGATAAGAGAACTGGGTTAATTTCATCTCCTGCTATCAGCTCCAAGACAAGAGAGTTAGTGAGATACTCATTATTCACATGAGGTAGCCACTGCCAATTACACATAATCTTTTGGTTGTTCTTGTACACACATAGACCAATATTACCAGCATTGCGACCAAGCACAGTGAACTGGAGATAGTAGACCCCTTTCACTGGTGCTATGAAGAAACCTACAGAGTATCTATGAGTGTGATATTAGTACTTTTACTTAAGTGGAGGATCTCAATACCGCTGACCATCATCAGGTGAAATTTTATATGAAACTTTTGTTTATGAGCAAATTTATGAGCAATATTTTTAACACTTTTTTGCTATTTCTTTCCCCTTTTTATTTCATTGAAAATAATGTTATGTTTACAGACGCACACAGATTAAAATAATAACAGAAAATAAACCATGCATTACACTTATTAAACAATCATGTTTGTCAGTGAAATACCTGCATTCTGTTTCTCTAGGTCACTTGTTTTGCCCTCGATGGCAGTCAGTCTAGTTTCCAGAGAGATCAGTTGTGTGGCTTGGACTGAAAAACAGAAATAGTTTAATTATTGTTTGTGACATTTAGTTCTGACAGATTTACATGAAAAAAAAAAAAATTATTCTAGAGGATACAATGTATTGTTAAAGATTAAACCAGTGATACCCAACCTTCCTGACTTGTGGCCTCTTAAAAAGAAGCAGTGTGTAGTTGGGGCCCAGTGCCATGTTTCAGATGTCTGTAAGTTGTTCCACTAGAGAGACACTTCCCCTCAAAACCATTCACATGGTTTTATTTAAATGGAAGTTTAAATCCCAAAGAGGTTAAATTATCCAATATTTATATAAAAAATATTATGAAAAGCCCCAAAAAAGAAAATAATCTTGTTTTCTTCCTCATTAATCATCTGATGACCCTCAGTTTGATCTTATGATCCATTAGAGGGGCCCATACCCTGATTTAGAACCTTAATATACCTGTATAAAGTAGTTTAAAATTATAAATCAACCAGCTACAAAAGTGCCATGCTGCTAACACATTGCAGTATGAACTGCCTAATAATGTCATATACAAAAATATATATATTTTATATATTTATTCTTGGTACATAGTAGAAACTGTAAATAGTTGCAGTATGTGAACATCAGAGCAGTTCATGGGATTGTCTCAGTTTCTATATAAAGACCTACAGTCAATGACAACAAACAGAAAAAAAAAAAACTTAAACGAATCTTTGATTTATTTGAATGTTGATTTCATGTAACGATACAAGAGGGAAGTCAGGTTCAGAATCACATTATTTGATACATTCACTAAGTGTACAGTATTTTCTAAAGAATCACAGTGTAACCAATAACAACAGAGTTTGTGACAAATCAATCACACAGCAGCCAAACAACATCCTTACAGTGGGAAGAGAAGGGCGCCACTGAAGGTGCTGAAGTTATTTACATTGTCATAGATAGAATGGCCTGATGGGAGAACAAGGTGAATTTCATCTCCTGCTATCAGCTCCAAGACAAGAGAGTTAGTGAGAAACTCATCAGACTCATTAGAATGCCAATCCGCATTATACATAATACATTGGTTGTTCTTGTACACAGTTATACCAAAAGCAAATGCTTGGTGACCAAACGCAGTGAACTGGAGATAGTAGACCCCTTTCACTGGTGCTGTGAAGAAACCTATAGAGTAAGAACAGAAAATTAAAAACATTAACAATTGATTGATGTAGATTTTCATGACCTCATGTGACCTGCAGTATATTACCTGTAGCTGGATTGTAAGCATTGCCAATGTTGGTGAAGACCTTGCTGAATTTCAGTGTGATGTCAGTGTTGTATGGTCCAACGTTCTTTGAATTAGTCAGAGCTGTGTAAAAGGCTACCTTTGGTTTCTCTGTTAACACAAAAAAGTTCATGTATGTCATTAAACTTAACTTAACTTAACTACACTAAATAAGTTGTGTGTGTGTGTGTGTGTGTGTGTGTGTGTGTGTGTGTGTGTGTGTGTGTGTGTGTGTGTGTGTATGTGTGTGTGTGTGTGCACAATCATCACCTTCATTTTCTCTTTCCAGCTGGTCAATCCTGGACTTACTGACGAGAAGTTCACTCTCACTGGTACTCAGTCTGGACTGCAAGTCTGGAGTTAATACAATGACAGTGAATTACAGAGCAGAGCAGTCATCAAAATATCAAACAGTTAACATGCAAAGCAAATTATATACAGTGTGATCTCCAGACATTGAATCCTACTGACTTTGGTGATCCTCTGACTTTTCCTCTGGCGCCACCATGAGGTTGACATTTGTGGTTTTGAGTGCAATGTCTCAACAATTGTTGGATAGTTTGTCTTGAAATCAATTTCTCCATCAGGATGAGTTGTAATCACTTTGCTGATCTCTTGAGTTTTCATCTAGCACCATTGTCAGTTGAGGAATGTAACTAAGTACATTTACTCAAGTATTGTCACTTTGGGTAATTGTGACGGCATCAATTGATTAATCAAAAAACATAATCAGCAGATTAATCCAAAAATAATTATTAGTTGCTTTTCTGTATAAAATAGTTCAAAAGTTCCATCTCAATAACAACAACAACAACAGTAAAATCCTTCTTTTACATGAATAATAAGAATCAAATGATAAAATATATAATAGTGTAACATGGGGGGATTTCAGTTTCAATACAGGACTTTTACTTGTAACAGAATATTTTCACAGTGTGATATTAGTACTTTTATTTAAGTGAAGGATCTCAATACCGCTGACCATCATCAGGTGAAATTGTATATAAAACTTTTGTTCATGAGCAAATTTATGCAACAGAACGCGTTTTTGCTACGTCTCTACCGTTTTTATTAAATAGAAAAATAACATTATGTTAACAGATGTACTTAGATTAAAATAATTACAGAAAATAACAAACCATACATGACACTTATTAAACAATCATGTTTGTCAGTGAAATACCTGCATTCTGTTTCTCTAGGTCACTTGTTTTGCTCTCGGTGGCTGTCAGTCTAGTTTCCAGAGAGATCAGTTGTGTGGCTTGGACTGAAAAACAGAATTAGTTAAATTTTTGTTTGTGAATGGTTGAAAGCAGTTTAAGTAACACAATAAGTTCTGTTGTATTTAGTATTTAATGTAGCTTAATTATCCACACAATCTGAATTTTTATAGATTTATTGTGGAGCTCACAATAAGTTTGTCAGTGCACTGACACACTTCAGTTAAACTCTTGAATCAACAGGAAAAGTTACCAGTCTGTACCAGAATTCTCTCTCTGCAGCAGCTCCATTTGCACCTTGGTGACCATCAGCTCAGTCTTCAGTTCATTCACCTGGCTCTCACTCTCCTTCACTCTGGCCTCCATGTTCCTCAGCTCCACCTTGAGCTCCACCACCATGTCTCTCAGGGCCCTCACCTCTGCCCAGATGTCAGAGATGGTCTGCTCTGTTGATTCCTCAACTGCACCCACCTCGTCGAGGCCTCCACCCTCCCCCTGAGCCCCTGAGCCACACAGACCGAGCAGCAACCACAGCAAACCAAGAACAACCCTCATTGTCCAGTTACACGTCTTCACAAAGGTACAGTGGTAGAGTTGGTCAGTCTTATATAGTCTCCAAACTTCAGCTGGCTGAATGAATGGGAAAAACAACAAGTGACTGATTCAAGGGCTCAGATGATTCAATATGATCTCTGTGCTGGTGAGAAAATACAAGCTGCTACAGGCTGGTGGAAAACTTTTACTAAGATACTCTCTCATGCAGTCAGAACTGTATATACACTGTGTTTATTAATACACACACATAGACAAACAGTCACAGAAACATACTTATTCTGATATTAAGGCCTTTTAGTGTGACTGAGGGTTATCTGATTAAAGTCTGTGAGTGAGTAAAAGTTTTTGCTTCACTTCACTTGTGTCAATCTCATTCTCTCTGGTTTTTTAAATACATTCATATAAAAATGTATACTTAAATCATTGTGATTGTTTTACATCTCATACTTTTTAATCTTTAAGTTATTTGTTAAACTACTGATACACAAAAAGTTGTGATGTCTTGTTCCCTGGACCGAGATCTGTGGGGGGACTTGAGTGTGACACAGAGTAGGATAAGGGAATAGAGCAGTGCTATTCGAGACAATCCTTCTCATCTGCTCTTTGATAAATGAGGCAGACAGGCAGCTCATTCAGGTACAGAATACGTAAGTGCAGGACAGAGCACTTAAGATGCTCACTTGTGCCCACTGCCACCAGCCTGGAAGTAAGTGTGGAAATAGCTAAAGAAAATCACACACACACACACACACACACACACACACTCACACTCATTCATCCAGGCTCTTGACTCAATAATGACTATTGCATATGAACAAGACCTGAACATTATGGTATTGACACTTTACAAGAATACAACTGCACCTTGTCCTCATGTATGTATTGTTACTATTGCTGCTATTATCATTACTACAACAGAAGTAGTCACATAAATAGCAGTGACATATCAAACACTATATATATTACATTTCTTTATATTATTACAATATGAATATATTATTATTGTACTTATATGAAAAGTTATTTCATGATTTTCTTTCAATTTCTATATTTCTATATATTATTATTCATAATGTGTATTACATATAGCCTACTGCATATATATAATATACATATAATACTGTATCATTCTGTAGATATTTTAATTAAAGTTTTCTTACTTTTTATTGTCAGTGTTGATTTATAAGACTTTATACTTTAATAGCTTTAAATAAAAAATCTTTATTCTCCAAGTGCATAATTATTATGAATATTCATTAACAATCCTGTTTGTTATATTAATGCAGATATTAATGCACTAAACACACAGAATACACAGAAATAAATTTCACGCTCATTTTCTTACATCATTCTCATGTTTGCAATCATTTTTTATTAAGACTTTACTGCATTATCGACAAGATACTGCACATCTGTAGACATCTGAAGTGCAATGTAATGTGGATACTGTTAATCATGAAACTGAACCATCTAGTCATTAACATTTCAAGCCTCATATTTACTCCCAGCAATGCAGTTTTAACTCTGGGTCTTTAAGAGGCTGAAAGTATCAAAAAATCTAGACACTTTCTTTTTGAAGTCTAATATGAGTTATTTGAATATTTTGTATCTTCTTTAATAATGCTGTTTTGTTCATTTGCTGAGATACAAAGTCACATCTACATGGTCATGCTACACATATAGTTTCTTATAGAGGTACACGGCACCAGATATGTAGCCGTCCTCCTGTTCTGACACCGCTCTCTCCCAGTCTTCCACCTCAGTGACGTCTACACAAGTCCACAATCCCTCTTCCTCCATCTGCTTCAGCTCACGCTCCAGGGAAACTTTGTAGTCCACATTGTCACAGTTACTTCTGGTTGTCATGCAAACGTAGCCACCTATTGTAAAACAGGGAACCGTGGTGTTGTTAAAACTCACCTACAGTGAGGAGATCCAGATTTACAATCAAAAATCAGAACTGCAATTGAGACAGCATCAAACGAAAAAACACATATTCTCACCTGGTTTGGTGGACTTGCACAAGTTTCTGACTGCATCAACCGGGACCTGACCAACACTCAGCGCTCCAACAATAACAACCACATCAAAGAAACCTGCAGGAAGTGAAGAGGGGCAAGGTGGAGGAGTGCAATAGATCAGAGTTTAATTTCAATATTATATAATCACAGTTCCATAAGAAATGCAGACAACTACAGCTACTACTGATAATAATAATACTAAACATTAATAATATTTAATAGCCATAATGTCTACAGAGGTTGGTTTTTTCATAATAAGTTCATAAAGTCGACCACAAATCAACATACAGGGTGGACAATATGACCAACATTTTTAACAGTGAATAAAATCCAGCTATAACGTGGACATAATAACAACAGCAAAAAGCAGTGACAAAGTAAACAGACAATAAAATAATCATAACAAAGACAAATTATGTTAATTCATCTTGAATAAACAACCCGCCTGAGGATCACCTACTGAATCACGCTGATCAATGACCCATGTGAAGTAATGAACCATTAAATTACCCCATTGGACAGGTAGCGGCTCCTCTCCCAGCAGGGACTGCTTCAGGTCCTGGTACAACCCGCTCTCTCTGGCCAAGTCCAACATAGCCTCACTTCCATCAATACCCATAAAATGTTTAAATCCGTGTTTCCTCAACTGTACAACAGAGACAGGATGGGTTGTTAATCAGTGACACTGGTCAAATCAATTGAACATGGAAATTAAAAGCTGATAGGGATAGTCTGTATTTTATAGACAATAACACGTTTAGTCTTTTCACTCTGAGAAGAAAAACAGATCAACAAATATTTCATTTTTCACTTTTTTTAAATCACTTTTTTCTCCTTTATTCAGAATGTCTCTCAGGAGTTTGTTCTCTATTGTGTGAGTTTACCTGTTTGGCCACCAGTCCTGTCCCACAGGCCACATCCAGCACAACGGCTGCTTCACGATCACCGTTGAAATGGGAGGAGATGCTGTTTGCTGCCAGACTTGGTGCACGGTAGTCCAGAACAGCCACATCCTATTCCAACAAGTTCAATGAAAGAACGGTGGCTTTTAGCACACATGAAGAGTGCAAACATGAACAGGTATCTGAACAAATGTATTAATTCACAACTTATCATATAAACAGATGTGTACTAGAGTTGCAGTGAGCGCTCTAAAGCTACATTTGGCTAGATATAAAGAAAATAGAAGCTATTTTTCTTTGCATACAAAGACACAATATGTTATACATTTTGCACTGCATTGTTTTTCTTGGTATTGCTCAGATCTATGCACAATATTATCACTATTCCCTATAGTTTAACTGGTTTATACTGCCAATATTTTGCTGATCGACTTATTGTACTTCAGTTTTCTCACCTGATCATAGTTCTCTGCCCAGGAGTTGTAGAAGTTGACCTTTTCTCTTGATGTGGAGCTCTTATGAGCTGATAAGATAACCGCTTTCACATTCTCAAATGTGTTAGTGACAGCTGACATTATATACAAAGCTGTTCAAAGGAAGAAAGAACCAGAAAGAACAAAGTGAAGTAACAGTAGTAGATATCAGAATACACATTATAGATTGTAAGTTTAAAGTGTGAATGAAACTGACACTGGTAAGCCTCCTAGTACACCTGATCACCTTACTTTCTGTAATCATCAGGGTTTTTTTTTTAACGGTGTATATAATTTTAACCATTATATTATTTTAATATGGGAAATATGGGAAGGTTTTGAGAATTGTGCAACTACTACACGCCACTGTTGTCTTATTGACTAATAAATAATAACAATGTATCTGAAACACTGACGACTACATTACACAAGATATGAACATTAATGGTAATGACAAGTTACCTGCAGTAGCCTCGCTAGTTGTTTTTTATCTGACAGTTTATTCACAAGTTCACCATCGTACATCAACTTGGTCCCACCAGCTGTTTCACAAATTTAGTGGCACAACAATGAAGTCTCGCTGCAGAACAGTGTGGTTATTGAGAGCAGAAATGGACCAGGAAGAAAAAAGTAGTAACACTCAGATGTCCGACATTCCCTCGGTAAGGACTGTCAGGAGAAGACACATACATGGCGCATTTACGTCCTTTTTGCCCCCGCAAAAAAAACAACCTTTGCCTTCTTACCTGATTGTATGTTTTATTACCTTCATGTGCTTTTTAATATCCAGTAGCCAGCCAGATAAATCTGCCCCAGACGTTTCGACTCGGAGTCCCAGCTGCTGCATTCACGGTCACCTTAAAGTCTAAAGCACATTACACATTTCCGACAACCCGCGAAGGTAGCATTCGTGCTTCCAAATTCATGCACATGCGCAGTGGCGTGCTCCAAAGCTGCTATTCGTGCTCCCACCTGTAGAGCGAGCAGGAGTCAAAACAAAAAAATCTTCTGGAAAGTCCTCCTGATAATTAACAGCAAGCTAACCAGCGAAAGCACGTCGCAGCCGATAACGCCAGCAAAGTTGTTTCCTTCGGGCTTTTTTTTAAAAACAACAACAAACAACTTTATTATAGTTACAAAGTGATTTCGCTCGATTTGTTTAATTATGGAGATCTCTCAAAAGTTCCGCTCTTTCTACAACTTGTTTTGGTCCGTTTTCGTGGCATAACTGGGAAGCTAACGCTGTCTGGTGATATCAGTTAGCTTAGCATTGGTCTCCCCAACAACACACACAAAAAAAAAGCCCAGCCTCCTCTGAGCCTTGTTGGACGGCAGAAGTTTGAGAGTTTACTCGCTGGTAATGGGCCTTATGTGTTATACATTTCAGCTTCATGTTGTATTTGATAAATAAGCAACAGTTAATTGTTTTTTTTTTTTACTGTTAAAAACCACTTGAATCATTAAATTATTATCGGCTGACAGCTAATTCCCCACATTCAGTAACTATTGACTGGCAGAAGTTTAAAATGACTTTAAAATGTGCAGTTTTAGTGTCTGGATGCATTTATCTTATAATGTGAAAAATGTCCCGTTTTGTACTGAAAGCAGTTCTACTCTCTTGAAATAGTTATTTACGTTTTCTTTTGTTTTGTTTGACAGCAGCACCCACAACATGTCTATCCTAGGATTAAAGAAGAAACAGCCAAAGACTTTCAAAGTCAAAGTCATCACCATGGATGCTGAAATGGAGTTCAGCTGTGAGGTATGAGTTTATTTAGTCAACCTAAGAGCTTAAAAATATGCTTTATCTGTCTCTATATGTTGTGTATCATTCCCATGTTCAGGTCAATGTCTAATACCTTTCACATGGGTATGTAGCCACTCATTGTTGTCACCCAAGACGATATAAAAATGTCATGTTACACTTATTTTTGTGGTAATCATCAAATATTGTGGGGGATACAACAGGCAAACCGAGCCTTCAGCCATGGTGACAGGAAAGATTCGGGCTCCCGTTGTTCAAAATAAATCAATATAGGACTGTATGCTGTCAAGCTATACAGCTTTTTTAGGTCAAGCCATGTGTGGAGACTCACGATTATTCACCATGATAAAGTGTTTTTATTACAATACACAATAATATTGTTTATCGTCCCATCCTTATCACATGATATACGTCATCCAGCTTCCTCGGAAAAGCATAAATCAGGGTTTACCCCTGGAAATCGTTTATCAGACGTCGTAAGATACTTCAGTGCCTCGTCTTGTGATCAATGTAGGTAGCAACTAGATTAAAGTCTAATTGACAGCCACACTCACTAAATACATGCCATTTGCAGTATGAAATAGTGCCTGTGCTTTTTTTTTTATCTCATAAAAGTGTATTGTTTTTGTCAGGATGTTAGTGAAGGTGGCGCAACTCCACTACAACGTACCAAAAGAAGCAGTATTTACCATAAAGTGTAAAGTGATATTCTGACACAGAGAGTGTTACTAGTTAATATTCGGGTTGCTTTTACTGGTTTTTCTCAGGTGAAGTGGAAAGGTAAAGACCTGTTTGACCTGGTGTGTCGCACTGTTGGTTTGAGGGAGACCTGGTTCTTTGGACTCAGGTACACAGTAAAGGACACCTACGCCTGGCTGAAACCAGAGAAGAGGGTAAGTGAATGGCTGAACTTGACTTGAACAATATGTTAGACATGTAGTTAACATTTTGCACAAATTCAGTTTGACGTAAAACAGTAAATCCTCACATCTGAGAGACTAGAACAAGCTAATATTTGTATCATTTGCTTGATAGGTTACTTCATAAATTGATTATTTAAATTGTTAATACATTATAAGTGGACCAATTAAGCCTTTAATTGCCTAACGATTTAGTGTGTTGCCAGATAGGAAGTACACACTGATCATGATATGACATTGCAGCTTTAGTGAGAGTCTGGTCTAACAAACATATTATTATGAACTTTTCTTCTACTGTTTATTTGTTCACCAAGGTCTTGGACCAGGAGGTTCCCAAGGACTCTCCCATAACATTTCATTTCCTGGCTAAGTTCTTCCCAGAAAAAGTAGAAGAAGAGTTGGTCCAAGAAATAACTCAGCACCTCTTCTTCTTACAGGTAATCTAGCCGATAACATTTCTTGTAAAAAAAAAAAAAAAAATTATTTATTTTTAGATGTAGGTAGAACTCATCTCCATGTTTTAGGACATTTTATTTGGTTCAGCATGTGTTCATACATGTCTTTTAAACTCTAGGTGAAAAAACAGATATTAGATGAAGAGATATTCTGTTCCCCTGAAGCGTCTGTTCTGTTGGCATCATATGCTGTCCAAGCCAAGGTAAGAAATATATGTATATATACAAGATTCCTGGTCTCTCACTGTCATTTTCTTGCAGCTGCAGTATGGTTGTCCTACCTGTATCTCATGTTGTCCACTTGAAAGTCACAGTTAATGTCTTTTGCAAATACACTTAAAAATACAATGTTTTCATCAACTTTATGCAAAGGAGCTCTCACAGATGGGACATATTCATGAGACCAAAAAAAACACATTTCTCTTTTTTTGGGTACTGGTTTTTGTCCTCAAGGGCAACTTACTGAGCAGATCTATATTATGGTGAATAAAATCAGTATTTTATTTCCAGTTAAACTGCTTTGTAAGTTTTGCTTTCTCCTCTTCAATCTCAATTACAGTATGGGGACTATGACCCAAACTTTCACAAGCCAGGCTTCCTCGCACAAGATGAGCTTTTGCCAAAAAGAGTAAGTATATACTACTATTTGCACATTTGACTATCTGGAATAGCAGGTTATAACCACTTAGCTAATGTTTTTGTTCTTGTGTGTGTGTGTGTGTGTGTGTGTGTATAGTGTTTTTTCCTCTGACCCCGTGCTTGTATTCCAGGTTTTGATGCAATATCAAATGACAGCTGACATGTGGGAGGAGAAGATCACAGCTTGGTATGCAGAGCACAGAGGCATCGCCAGGTAGGACTGACAAAGGAAGGCATCTGAAGTCCAGCATGTTAAAGGACCAGTGTGTAGGATTTAGTGGCATTTGGCAGTGAAGTCTCAGATTGCGACTAACTGAACGCTGCTCACGTCTGTATTAGTTGATCTGGGAATGAGAACGGAGTGTGAAATGTGTAGGATAAACTATGGTGTCTGCGAAACTCGTGAAAAAAGCAAAAGGCCCTATCTACAGACAATGTTTGGTTTGTCCGTTCTGGGCTACTGTAGAAACATGGAAGGTGAGTGCGTCTGTAGATAAAAATGTCTCATTCTAAGGTAACAAAAACACAATGATTCCTATATTCAGGTGATTATACGCTAAAAAATACCCATGAATATTATATTCCATTTCTGCCAATAGATCCTCCTTAATGTTACACACTGGACCTTTAAGAGAAATGAAAACCTTTACAAAAGGTCTCGTCCTACATTCTGTAGTTGAAGTCTGATTAATATATCATGGTTTAAAAAGTCTTCTCTTCCTTACTTTTACAATGTCAGGGACGAGGCTGAGATGGAGTACCTAAAAATTGCTCAGGACCTTGAGATGTATGGTGTCAGCTACTTTGCCATTACCGTAAGTGTAAATTACTGTGCCTTGATTTGTATGTCATTGGGAAAAATGCAACCGTGAATATTGCTGTCATGTTGGTTTAAATTTTTATTTTACACATTTACAGCAAAATAAGAGGGATACTGACCTGTTACTCGGAGTGGATGCTCAGGGTCTTCACATCTACAGCCCCAACAGCAAACTCAACCCTAACAAGTCCTTTCCTTGGAGCGGCATTCGCAACATATCTTACAGTGAAAAGGAGGTGAATGCAAGCAGTGGACTGTCTTTTGCCGTCAGGACATTCTGCATTTCGCAAAAAGGGTTTTAGTTGTTTAAGTGGATTTAAATTCCACATCCGTAATGACTGTTTGTTAAGAAAATATGCTTCATTATTTGTTTTATACATTCACTTCCTGTTCTTTCTGGCTGTCCTCACTGTCCTGCTGCCTGCTGCTGTTCTGTTTTAAAGGCATCAAACCTGTGCTGTCTGTCAAAAACAAAATGGTGTCCGTGCTGAGCAGAGTTGAACTTACTTTTGTATGTTGCAGTTCACAATCAAACCCCTGGACAAAAAGAAAGATGTTTTCAAATTCTACTCCTCTCAACTGCGTGTCAACAAGCTGGTGGGTTTACTTCTTTGTCCATGTAAACATTCAACTATAGCAAAGCTATAATAGAGATACGTGAATTAAGATATTTCTGGTTTGTATCACCTGCGTCTCTAGATCCTGCAGTTGTGCATCGGTAACCATGATCTATTCATGAGGAGGAGGAAGGTGGACTCCATTGAAGTGCAGCAGATGAAGGCTCAAGCTAAAGAGGAGAAGGCCCGCAAGAAGGTCAGCAGTAACAGATTAGACGGGATGTACACCGTGCATACATATAGACTAACTACAGTCAGAATTAATTGGCAATCATGGTTGATTGTCTCAACTCTTTAATTTGGTTTCTCTGACCATCCAGATGGAGCGTCAAATTCTGGCACGAGAAAAACAGATGAGGGAGGAGGCGGAACGAGCAAAAGAGGAGATGGAGCGAAGACTTTTCCAGCTGCAGGACGAAGCACGATTGGCCAACGAGGCACTGGTGAGGGCTTCATCCTTGATATGAGATAATTGATGAGCTCATGTTGGGGCAATAAGCATAACATTCATTTAAATTTTCCTATAAAAGCGACAGACAACATGGTGGTAGAGTCAAGTTCCTCCATCATGCTAAGCCCTAAAACTCTTCCACAATTTATCTGCATTTTCTCCAGCTGCGATCTGAGGAGACAGCGGACCTGCTGGCAGAGAAGGCCCAGATTGCTGAGGAGGAGGCCAAGCTGTTGGCCCACAAGGCTGCAGACGCTGAGCAGGAGAGGCAGAGGTTAGAGGTCACCGCCATGAAGACCAAGGAGGAGAAAAGGCTGATGGAGCAGAAGATGAGGGAGGCAGAGCAGCTGGCTGTCAAACTGGTGGAGCAGTCCGAGAGGAGGTCTGAAATCATCTTGAATAGTGTCGCATTTGTTTTATTATAATTATCACTTAATTGATTTGATTTCTTACAGGGGAATATGCGATACATTAAAAGAGTCCTCCATCAGTTTAGCATTGAACTCCTGTAACTCTGTCACATCAGACTCACAATGGACAAAAGGATTGAAATCAATGCAACAGAACCAGAGATACTGTTCTCTTTATTCACCGCTTTCTTGTTCCTTGTCCAAACCTGGCATCTATATTACCCACAATGCAACTCGGCTGCTGACAGTTCCATTGGAGATTGAGGTGTGTTATGCTAGTCTGACTCACAGGAAGTAGGTTGTGTGTATAAGCCTGCCATTGGCTGACTATTTCAGTCAGAATTCTCCTCCCCTTACGGTATCTGTGTATTTTGTAAGGGCACCGTCGCTGCATCCTGTGCTTAGTACCACCCAAGACCATTGTGATTGGTTCAAAGAAACACAAACAAGTCAGGGCATTTCCTCCCCTTTACCAGAATGATATGGGATTCAGCCAGACCTTTCTCTGCCGCTGGCACAGCACTAAAATTAAGTGTGGAGATACTGTAGGTCTTGGTATGTAAGAGTTTTAGTTTTCAAACTTGTCTTCAGCCACAACCAACCATTATTCAAGTGATATCACTAGAGGCAATTTACAACATTGACCGGTTGTAGTTTTAAATACAAATATTGCTGTTCAGTAAACAGCCATCAACAGTAACCATGAAGTTACATCTGCTCCTGTATCCAGAATTTGTTATTTTAATACTCCTCAGTATTCACTGTATTAGCAATACTGTCTTCCATCAACCTCTGGTTCCAGGTTGAAGGAGGCAGATCACCTGAAACAGGACCTGACCGAGGCGAAGGATGCTGAGCGGAGAGCCAAACAGAAGCTGCTGGAGATCACCAAAACAACATACCCTGTACGGTGGTGATGATACAGCTGCTTGTGTACTCTTTGTGACACCTTAGTTGTTACCTTTTGTGGATGAATGCAGCTTATTTTTGTTCTGAAATATGAGTTCAAGTTATTACAGTGCAGTCATCTTATTAAGGCCATTTATTGCCTGCTTTAAAGGTAATTTATTTTAGATACTTCTACAGTACGAATCACCAAATGACTTATTTTTTAGGGAGGAATACTCAAGTTCAAGTAACCAAGATTATACAAGAAGTGAGCCCTTGAAATATTTGGGGCCTGAGAAATAAAACTGCAAACAAGAAAATAAAAGCAGGAATGCTACATGCACTGCAACCAAGAATTTTATTTTAGGGAGTATTTAGTGATTTTATTGTGAAAAAGTAGTTTACATTAGTACATTACAAAACATTACAAAAACATTACAAAAAAATCTGACTTGCTGATAATGTGCTTTAAGTTGAGCTTAAGCAGTTTTTTGCCATTGTGTGTCAGCAGATTGAAATATAGTTAGAACAACAACTTACATCCGTTTGCCTGTCTTCCAGCTCATAGCGGCCTACTCTACTCCTCCTGCTCCCCCTGCCCCTCCTGAAGCAGCCGACTTCGGCTATGAATCGGCATCTACGCGCCTCGACTTCAAGGACTCTGACATGAAAAGGCTGTCAATGGAGATTGAGAGAGAGAGGTGAGTTGTCAAATACAGACATGAGCGGTGTTTCGTTAGTTGCCATCTGCAGTTTCTCCGCTAGATGCCAATAAATCTTACACACTGGTCTGTTAATCCAGGCTGGAGTACATGGAGAAGAGTAAACACCTGCAGGACCAGCTGAAAGAGCTGAAGACCGAGATTGAGTCTCTGAAGCTGGAGGAGCAGCAGCAACAGGCTGGCCTCTACAACCTCCGCAGTGAGGCGAGAGGATACGTCCAGGAGCCTGTCTATATACCTCACAGCAATGTAAGTATGATCACTTCACATGATCTTCCTCTTAGTATTCCAAATACTAGTATTATTAGTCTAACTGGTTACCGATTATGTGTCAGAATGTCTAATAAAGTGAATAAATCAGCGAATCCACATATATAAAAGTATCTTGAGTGTTTTCACTCTGTCTCCTGTCTCTTTTATGATAATGGGCTCACTTCATATTTGTATTACCCAAAGAATATTGGGAATTGTGTTAAATTTTAATTTAAATGTTAAAATTTTTCAAAATGGAAAGAATGAAAAAATAAATGGGCATCAGTACAGCAGAAAAATCTAAGATATTGGATATCTTATCATAATGATAATTGTATACCTGAAGCGCACACATTCTCCTCTATTTTTTGCAGATATTTGCTTTGTGTTGATAACCCATAACACAAAGGCTGAAAACCCAAGCAATTTTAAATCGCATAGAATTAATATATATAACAAATGTCCTTGAACATGTATAGAAATACTTACTTGCTAAATTATGGTATTTCTGAGCTGTCTAACTTAAAGAAAATGAAGTTATGGAAGATATTAATGTCATGAGTCGTTATATTTACATAACTGAGTATGTACTTCTTGTCTTTGAGTTTTTAATCACACCATGAATGCACATTTCTTTTACACTGATTTCGACCCCCTTTGCTTCTCTCTCAACCTGCTCATACTTGTCTTGTTTTGCAGCGAAACTCTGCGTACATGTCTCAGATGGCCTACTTTGAAGAAGTGTGATCCCAGTCCTGCCAGACAAGGAGGGAGGGCACCAGCTGTTGTGACTCTGTGTTTTCTCAAATTGTGTGGTTAATTTTTACCTGGCTGACACAAACAGTCAGACACATACGTACACTATAACTGTGGGCTTTGGAAAGACTTTTAATCTGTCCTCAACATCAAACAGCCACTAGTTTGTCTGCCAGCACAGGCTGTCATGCTAGGCTGTACCACCTGCTACACTACAGCACCTTCCATGTATAACAAAATATAAAAACTTGAGTTTGTTATATATAACAAACACAATAATGTGTGTAACACTGATTCAGGATATGGTGCTGAAGATGGATGAATGAATGAGTTCTGATTTGCTGATGTTTTTTTGTGGCTTTAAGGGATATTTAGCTGTAAGATGGTCAGATTTAGAATTATGACTTAATGACAGGTTACACATAAATGCCCTAAAAACATTTTGGGACAGGGATTAAGTTGAAATGTGTCACAAACCGGTTTTATGAAAATATATAAATATCCTTATGAATGTGTAAATATATTGGCAGCCTTTGGTCATTTTCTTTCAAACGAGCAAAATTTTGCTCAAACTTATATATAGTATATTAAAGAAAATCGAAATTGGCACATTTCTGATTATAAATTTAACAAGGTATTGTTGAATGTAGCATTCAACACTAAAAATAAACTCAAGATAACTCTTGATCAATAATATGTAATGTGAAAAAGAACTTTGTGATAAAAGTAATTTATAAAAGTACTAATTGGAAGAAAAGTCTAAATATTCAGAGCAGACGGGTGCAGGGACAGTGTCTAAATGTGACACAAAATGCAGTGTTTGATCTTTGTTCTGGTATTTCATTTGTATTTGCTTGCTGTTTCTGTTACTAGGTTCATTACTGACAACAGCACACAGGTGCCTTTTATTGTTTTCTTGCAATGTGATAGTTAATAGAAATGTAGTATACAGTTGCAAGCTTGAGCTCATTTCAAGTTTTTATATTTTGTACTCTAGACTGTTGTCGTGCCTTGAACTTTATTTTGTACTATTATGATTTGAGTTACTAAGGTTTTATTTGGTATCATTGTGCTCAAATGTCTTAGCATTAGGGGTTACTTTAAGTTTGGGGTTGATTTCATACCCTGACTCATTTGCTGAGTAGCAGATTGATGGCTTTTCCATTTCTTCTATTCTTTCTTTTTGCCTCATGTTTTTCTCAGGGTTAGTGTTGGAGACAATCACTGCAGGTAGAATCTTATTGTTTTTTTCCCCCCTGAGATATACATTGCGGTATCCATTCATGTTTACCTTTTTGAACATGTTATTTTGATTTAACTTGGATAAGTCCAATAGTTTGGCAGCAGTGGGTGAACAGTCCTCAGTACATTCTCAAAAAGGGAGAGGCTGGAGGCCAGATGTACAGCCAGAGGTTCTGTTTGTTTATTTGGACTGAATTCATTATGGACTGAACAGTGACAAATAATTGGTTCTTTTCTCATCAACACATTGCGTAAGTGCTTCAGTTTGCAACTTTAACCTTATTTATTTGTGTTCTTTAAATAACATCACCATACATCTTGAGCTCCACCATTGTGGGGATTGTAATTTAATGTGTGTTTCTATAATGGGATTTTCCTGCCAAATTCATGTCCTGTGTTTAGGAATAATTTTACATCTGAAACAATGTTGTACTTTACGGGATTAGAGTTACTTTCGAGTGACACAAATTAATATTTACAACAAAGATGTGTTATTTGTAACCTCGTTATTTTGTGAACAGTTTAATTACAACAGTGATCATACGACAGTGTTTCTATTTTGCCTGATGTTTGTGCAGACATTAGTCTCCTAGATCAGTCAGTAAAATGCAGACAGAGCGAACACCCCCATCAAGGCCACACAATCCTCTAAATATGTCATTTTATTTGTAGAACAATCTTAATAATGTGTAATCTGCAGTCATTAATAGTCTGAGTAATTACATTTAAAGATGGATGAATTGTGGGAAATGTGAGCCAGACTCTCTACCACTGAGGATTCGTCATTTACATTGATCATGTGCTGTCGTGCAGTCTGCCGGTGTATTGCCGCTAAATCTTTTGGGATGTGATTTGAAAAGACCTGCTATCGTTTAGGACTGAGTTGGGTTGGGTCAGAGTGTCACAGGTCTTTGCAAATCAAGCACCAACCTTAATTTGTAACTTAAATTGTGTGACGTCTCTATTTATACTATATAGTGGAGATCAAATGTAGCCAGTAATCTGGTAACATCCTGCATTAAAACCATACACCAGCGCACATTTTCATCTTTTTACTTGTTTGCATTTGTAGTGTTTGCTTCAAACATTAGTTTTTCTCTATTTTGTAGATGAAGTGAGAGATGAAAGGGGATCTACAAATGGGAAAACACCATAGTGACATGAGCCTACAGAGATACACTTATTTAAGAAGAAGATATACTTTATTTATCCCCTATTGGAAATGTTTCTTTTCACTCTTTTGCTAAAATAATTTGAATGTGTATGGGATGTATCCATCTTTAATATTGTTATAATGACCATATTATAGTCATGCTAGAACATATTCATCTGCAGTTCTGCCTTTTGTGCTGTGCCTTATAATACAGTAAACCAAAACATACCAGCATGTGTTGCTTATGTTAATACATATCTTATCAATGTAGGTAATATAGACTGAGCAGGTACATTTAGTCTTAGAAATGCCAATAAATCAGGTAGCTGTCATGTCATGATCACTACACTTAGTAATATTATAACAATAATTTCATGCTGTGATTTATAGATCATGTCTACGAGATTAGAAGAGTGAAAAGATGCAACATTTCTCTGGGCTTCACAGCTTATTTTACAAGACTTTTGAGAGTGAATACAACTGTATGATTGTTAGAATATAGGAAAGTTATGAGGTTTGTCTACATTTTGTGGTGTCAAGAAAACATTAATGAATGGTGAAGGGCCTCATGGGAAATATTCTCTCAATAATGAAGATGCAGATATGCATTTTAGTCGATTTTTTCCTTTTTTACTCACCTCTGCGACTTTAATCAGATAACCTTCAGTCACACTAAAACACCTTGGCATCAGGATAAGTACCTTTCTGTGAGTGAGTGTATGTGTGTATTAATAAACACAGTGTATATACAGCTGTGACTGCATGAGAGAGTATCTTAGTTAAAGTTTTCCACCAGCCTGTAGCAGCTTGTATTTTCTCACCAGCACAGAGATCATATTTAATCATCTGAGGACTTGAATCAGTCACTTGTTGTTTTTCCCATTTGTTCAGCCAGTTGAAGTTTGGAGACTATATAAGACAGACCAACTCTACCACTGTACCTTAGTGAAGACGTGTAACTGGACAATGAGGGTTGTTCTTGGTTTGCTGTTGTTGCTGCTCGGTCTGTGTGGCTCAGGGGCTCAGGGGGAGGGTGGAGGCCTCGACGAGAGGGGTGCAGTTGAGGAATCGTCAGAGCAGACCACAAAGCAAACCACCACTGACATCTGGGCAGAGGTGAGGGCCCTGAGAGACATGGTGGTGGAGCTCAAGGTGGAGCTCAAGGTGGAGCTGAGGAACATGGAGGCCAGAGTGAAGGACAGTGAGAGCCAGGTGAATGAACTGAAGGCTGAGCTGATGGTCACCAAGGTGCAAATGGAGCTGCTGCAGAGAGAGAATTCTGGTACAGACTGGTAACTTTTCCTGTTGATTCAAGAGTTTAACTGAAGTGTGTCAGAGCACTGATAAACTAATTATGAGCTCCACAGTAAATCTATAAAAATCAACGTGGTGGAAGCTATATTTAATAATTGTTAAAATATAACAAAGCCCATTTTCCAAACAATAATTAAATTAATTCTGTTTTTCAGTCCAAGCTACACAACTGATCTCTCTGGAAACTAGACTGACTGCCACCGAGAGCAAAACAAGTGACCTAGAGAAACAGAATGCAGGTATTTCACTGACAAACATGATTGTTTAATAAGTGTCATGTATGGTTTGTTATTTTCTATGTTATTATTTTTTAAGTAAAAGCACTAATATCACACTGTGAAAATATTCTGTAACAAGTACAAATCCTGCATTGAAATGGAAATACACTATTATATATTATATCACTAATTATCGTTACTCATGCATTCATGTAAAAGGTGGATTTCACTGAGGTGGAGCTCATTTTGATTTACTTTGTATAGGACGGCAACTAATTATTTATGAAATAATTTGCTAATTATTTTATTTTCCATTAATCAATTGGTGCCGTCACAATTTCCCAGAGCCCAAAGTGACACTTTCACAATGCTTGTTTTGTCCAACCAATATTCCAAACTGCTATATTATTATAAATACATTAAAGTTATTAAAAGGACAAACAGAAAATGTTCACAATTGTGAAGCTGCAACCATGAAATGGTTTACATGAAACATTAACAATTATCAAATAATTGCCAAATAATTTTCTGTCAATTGATAATTGATTAATGGACTAGTTTTTTTTATATATATACTTTTGAGTAGTTTAATTTATCACAAAGCATCATTTTTTTAAAAAAACCTTAAGATGTTTTGTCTGTAAAAAATCTTAAATGCAGAGAACAATAAGTACAATATTTCCCTCTGATGTGTAGTGGAGTAGAAGTACAAGACTCAAGTAAAGTACAAGTGCCTCAAATCTGTACTTAAGTACAGTACTTGAGTAAATTCACTGACAATGGCGCTAGATGAAAATCTAATTTTATAATTTGTTTTGCATGTTAACTGTTTGATATTTTGATGGCTGCTCTGCTCTGTAATTCACTGTCATTGTATTAACTCCAGACTTGCAGACCAGACTGAGTATCAGTGAGAGTGAACTTCTCGTCAGTAAGTCCAGGATTGACCAGCTGGAGAGAAAAAATGGAGGTGATGATTGTACATACACACAAATACACCTTATTTGGTGTAGTTAAGTTAAGTTTAATGACATAAATTAACTTTTTTGTGTTAACAGAGAAACCAAAGGTGGCCTTTTACACAGCTCTGACTAATTCAGGACATGTTGGACCATACAACACTGCCATCACACTGAAATACAGCAAGGTCTTCACCAACATTGGCAATGCTTACAATCCATCTACAGGTAATATACTACTGGTCACATGAGGTCATGGAAATCTACATCAATCAATTGTTAATGTTTTTACTTTTCTACTTTTACTCTGTAGGTTTCTTCACAGCACCAGTGAAAGGGGTCTACTATTTCCAGTTCACTGCGTATGGTAACCAAGCAGGTTATATGGGTGTACGAGTGTACAAGAACAGCAAAAGTATTATGTATAATGATATTTTGCTGTCTAATGCGCAACGTGAATATCTCACTAACTCTCTTGTCTTGGAGCTGATAGCAGGAGATGAAATTCACCTTGTTCTCTCATCAGGCTATTCTCTCTTTGACAATGAAAATAACCACAGCACCTTCAGTGGCGCCCTTCTCTTCCCACTGTAAGGATGTTGTTTGGTTGCTGTGTGATTGATTTGTCACAAACTCTGTTGTTATTGGTTACACTGTGATTCTTTAGAAAATACTGTACACTTAGTGAATGTATAAAATAATGTGATTCTGAATCTGACTTCCCTCTTGTATCGTCACATGAAAACAACATTCAAATAAATCAAAGATTAATTGAAGTTTTTTTATTCTGTTTGTTGTCATGGACTGTAGGTCTTTATATAGACATTGAGATGATCCCATGAACTGTTCTGATGTTCACATACTGCAACTATTTACAGTTTCTACCTCTTTACAAAGTGATGTCCTGCAGGCAAAAGAATGTCTCTGTTTATACTAGTTAGTGGAGATCTAATGTAGCCAATTATCTCAACATCCCTAAAACCAGCTTCTAGAGCACATATTTGAGGGAATATTATTCTTCTTTAACATAGTTGCACTTTTGTTTTAAACAGAGTAGTTTTCTGTTTCTTATAGATGAAGGGAAATGTAAAGAAAGCCTATTTCAGAGAACAAAGTTGTTCTGAAAATGCAAAGAAACAGTACCTTTGTGCATTAACTGTGACGTAGGCCTACAAAGATACTCTTCTTTTACAAAGACACACTCCTTTGAATATTAATATAAACTGAAACGTGTGTAAGAATATTCATATATAAAATATATGAATATTATTTTTTGCCTAAACATGATATAAAGTAAAGAAAAACAACAATCAAATACTATGAAATATTGCATAATAAGTGATCTAAACAAAACATTGACAGCATGAGTCAATAAAATGCTACAGGAGGGTTTCTACCTCATGTCTAATGAGAGTGAATGTATGAACATCTGACCCCTGACCTTTCACCCCTGACCATAGCTAAACAGTCTGATTTAACAAATAATTTATAAGATGAATAATCATAATATAAGATGTAAAGATGTTCATAAACAGAGAGCAGTTTTTATATCAATTCATAGAATATCAGATAGAATGAGACAAGAAGTGAGACAGAGTGAAGAAAACACTTTTACTCTCTGGCTTTAATCAGATAAGCCTCAGTCACACTAAAACACCTTAGTATCAGTATAAGTAGGTTTCTGTGAGTGAGTCTATGTGTGTGTATTAATAAACACAGTGTATATACAGCTGTGACTGCATGAGAGAGTATCTTAGTAAAGGTTTTCCACCAGCCTGTAGCAGCTTGTACGGGTAATCATATCTAGCTGTTTGTATAAAGTGTCAATCTCATTCTGTAAATATCTTCGCCATATATGTCTTGGTGTATTCACCTCACTCCGTTCATTCTGTTAATACTGTTCAGAATGTAAATATTCTGCCAGTATATTGATATACATATCTATAATGTTATTATTACTTTTTTTACATATTTTGTACATATGCACATTACTCTGCACTTTACTGCTTTGCACTTCTGGTTAGATGCTAACTGCATTTTGTTGCCTTTTACCTGTAAATGGAATCTAATCTAATCTAATTACAACAGTTATCATACAGCAGTGTTTCTATTTTTCCTGAAGTGTGGGCAGACATTAGTCTCCTAGATCAGTCAGTAAAATGCAGACAGAGTGAACCGCCCCACCAAGGCCACACGATCCTCTAAATATGTTTTTTTTAATTGTAGAACAATCTTAATAATGTGTAATCTGCAGTCATTAATAGTCTGAGTAATTACATTTGAAGATGGATGAATTGTGGGAAATGTGAGCCAGACTCTCTACCACTGAGGATTCGTCATTTACATTGATCATGTGCTGTCGTGCAGTCTGCCGGTGTATTGCCGCTAAATCTTTTGGGATGTGATTTGAAAAGACCTGCCATCGTTTAGGACTGAGTTGGGTTGGGTCAGAGTGTCACAGGTCTTTGCAAATCAAGCACCAACCTTAATTTGTAACTTACATTGTGTGACGTCTCTATTTATACTATATAGTGGAGATCAAATGTAGCCAGTAATCTGGTAACATCCTGCATTAAAACCATACACCATGCACACATTTTCATCTTTTTACTTGTTTGCATTTGTAGTGTTTGCTTCAAACATTAGTTTTTCTCTATTTTGTAGATGAAGTGAGAGATGAAAGGGGATCTACAAATGGGAAAACACCATAGTGACATGAGCCTACAGAGATACACTTATTTAAGAAGAAGAAGAAGAAGATATACTTTATTTATCCCCTATTGGAAATGTTTCTTTTCACTCTTTTGCTAAAATAATTTGAATGTGTATGGGATGTATCCATCTTTAATATTGTTATAATGACCATATTATAGTCACGCTAGAACATATTCATCTGCAGTTCTGCCTTTTGTGCTGTGCCTTTTAATACAGTAAACCAAAACATACGAGCATGTGTTGCTTATGTTAATACATATCTTATCAATGTAGGTAATATAGACTGAGCAGGTACATTTAGTCTTAGAAATGCCAATAAATCAGGTAGCTGTCATGTCATGATCACTACACTTAGTAATATTATAACAATAATTTCATGCTGTGATTTATAGATCATGTCTACGAAATTAGAAGAGTGAAAAGATGCAACATTTCTCTGGGCTTCACAGCTTATTTTACAAGACTTTTGAGAGTGAATACAACTGTATGATTGTTAGAATATAGGAAAGTTATGAGGTTTGTCTACATTTTGTGGTGTCAAGAAAACATTAATGAATGGCGAAGGGCCTCATGGGAAATATTCACTCAATAATAAAGATGCAGATATGCATTTTAGTCGATTTTTTCCCTTTTTACTCACCTCTGCGACTTTAATCAGATAACCTTCAGTCACACTAAAACACCTTGGCATCAGGATAAGTACCTTTCTGTGGGTGAGTGTATGTGTGTATTAATAAACACAGTGTATATACAGCTGTGACTGCATGAGAGAGTATCTTAGTTAAAGTTTTTCACCAGCCTGTAGCAGCTTGTATTTTCTCACCAGCAAGGAGATCATATTTAATCATCTGAGGACTTGAATCAGTCACTTGTTGTTTTTCCCATTTGTTCAGCCAGCTGAAGTTTGGAGACTATATAAGACAGACCAACTCTACCACTGTACCTTTGTGAAGACGTGTAACTGGACAATGAGGGTTGTTCTTGGTTTGCTGTTGTTGCTGCTCGGTCTGTGTGGCTCAGGGGCTCAGGGGGAGGGTGGAGGCCTCGACGAGGTGGGTGCAGTTGAGGAATCGTCAGAGCAGACCACAAAGCAAACCACCCCTGACATCTGGGCAGAGGTGAGGGCCCTGAGAGACATGGTGGTGGAGCTCAAGGTGGAGCTGAGGAACATGGAGGCCAGAGTGAAGGACAGTGAGAGCCAGGTGAATGAACTGAAGACTGAGCTGATCTTGACCAAGGTGAAAGTGGAGCTGCTGCAGAGAGAGAATTCTGGTACAGACTGGTAACTTTTCCTGTTGATTCAAGAGTTTGACTGAAGTGTGTCAGTGCACTGATACACTTATTGTGAGCTCCACAGTAAATCTATAAAAATTAACGTGGTGGAAGCTATATTTAATAATTGTTAAAATACAACAAAGCTCATTTTCCAAACAATAATTAAACTAATTCTGTTTTTCAGTCCAAGCTACACAACTGATCTCTCTGGAAACTAGACTGACTGCCACTGAGAGCAAAACAAGTGACCTAGAGAAACAGAATGCAGGTATATCACTGACAAACATGATTGTTTAATAAGTGTCATGTATGGTTTGTTATTTTCTATGTTATTATTTTTCAAGTAAAAGTACTAATATCACACTGTGAAAATATTCTGTAACAAGTACAAATCCTGCATTGAAATGGAAATGTTACACTATTATATATTATATCACTGATTATCGTTACTCATGCATTCATGTAAAAGGTGGATTTCACTGAGGTGGAGCTCATTTTGATTTACTTTGTATAGGACGGCAACTAATTATTTATGAAATAATTTGCTAATTATTTTATTTTCCATTAATCAATTGATGCTGTCACATTTTCCCACAGCCCAAAGTGACACTTTCACAATGCTTGTTTTGTCCAACCAATATTCCAAACTGCTATATTATTATAAATACATTAAAGTTATTAAAAGGACAAACAGAAAATGTTCACAATTGTGACAATTATCAAATAATTGCCATATAATTGCCATATAATTTTCTGTCAATTGATAATTGATTAATGGACTAGTTTTTTTTATATATATACTTTTGAGTAGTTTAATTTATCACAAAGCATCATTTTTTTTTAAATCTTAAGATGTTTTGTCTGTAAAAAATCTTAAATGCAGTGAACAACAAGTACAATATTCCCCTCTGATGTGTAGTGGAGTAGAAGTACAAGACTCAAGTAAAGTACAAGTGCCTCAAATCTGTACTTAAGTACAGTACTTGAGTAAATTCACTGACAATGGCGCTAGATGAAAATCTAATTTTATAATTTGTTTTGCATGTTAACTGTTTGATATTTTGATGGCTGCTCTGCTCTGTAATTCACTGTCATTGTATTAACTCCAGACTTGCAGACCAGACTGAGTATCAGTGAGAGTGAACTTCTCGTCAGTAAGTCCAGGATTGACCAGCTGGAGAGAATAAATGGAGGTGATGATTGTACATACACACAAATACACCTTATTTGGTGTAGTTAAGTTAAGTTTAATGACATAAATTAACTTTTTTGTGTTAACAGAGAAACCAAAGGTGGCCTTTTACACAGCTCTGACTAATTCAGGACAAGTTGGACCATACAACACTGACATGACACTGAAATACAGCAAGGTCTTCACCAACATTGGCAATGCTTACAATCCAGCTACAGGTAATATACTGCAGGTCACATGAGGTCATGGAAATTTAAATAAATTAATTGTTAATGCTTTTACTTTTCTACTGTTACTCTGTAGGTTTCTTCACAGCACCAGTGAAAGGGGTCTACTATCTCCAGTTCACTGCGTTTGGTCACTCTGCAGGTGCTATGGGTATACGTGTGTACAAGAACAACCAAAGGATTATGCATAATGGGGATTGGCAACCTGAAATTAATAATGAGTATTTCACTAACTCTCTTGTCTTTGAGCTGCTAGCAGGAGATGAAATTCACCTTGTTCTCCCATCAGGTCATCATCTCTTTGACAATGGAGATAACCACAGCACCTTCACTGGCGCCCTTCTCTTCCCACTGTAAAGATGTTGTTTAACTGCTGTGTGATTGATTTGTCAAATGAAATCAAATAATGTGACTCTGAATCTCACTTCCCTCTAATTTCTCCACATGAAAACAACATTAAAATAAATTAAAGATTCATTGAAGTTTTTTTATTCTGTTTGTTATCATATACTGTAAGTCTTCATATAGAAACTTCACATAAGACAATCCCATGAACTGCAATGATGTTCACACACTGCAATTGTTTAGAATCAAATCTGGATCAAATTACGCTGTAAAGCCTGAGTGAAATTTTATTGATACACTACATGAGCCATATAAGCAAAGCTGGGATGTGTGCTGGTAAATGAAAGACAACATCTATGCTGGTCAATTCACCATTTAAGAAGTTGTTTAAAAATAGACTTCCTTTGTACTTTATATTATTGGGTACTAATGTAAATGAAATAATTCTCTTTACATTTTACAGGTTTAGAAATATGATGGATTTTAAATGTTGACCTGAAATATTTGTGTGCTTTTGAGTCCTCTCACTGAGGTGTTTTTTGCATTCAGAGATAAGAATCCATTTGTAGACTTTCTAACCACAAAAAAAGTGAAGTTGTGGTATTAATATTGTTTATTTTCAAAGTGATAGTGCAAAAAGGAAGAGAGAGAGAGAGAAGAAAGAGGAGACAGAGAAGAGAGTTACATCCTTTCTGCCTTCCTAACCCGCCCCCCCCGTCCATTTTCACTTTTCACCCCCAAACAACGCACCCACCATCCCAACATCCCAAAACATTCCAACTCCTCTTCCTCAACTCCATCAACCTTCTCAGCCCTCACACACTCAAATCTTGCCCTCACCCCATACCCCCACCATCTTCCCCTGCTTCCCTCTCTCCTCTTCCATGGAAATCATAGTCATTGATACTTCAGGTGATTCTTGGTTTCCTCCCACACTCCAAAGACATTTAGGTTCAGATAACTTGATCACAGTGTTAATAAACAATTAAATGTGAGACAAAGAAACATCACATCTGCCTGTTTCTGCCTTTGTGAGATAGATAGATATAATATAAATACACCTGCTGTCATGACAACATGACACGTGAGGTTTCAGATATTTCTCTTATTTGACTTTCTGTAAATTGAAGATGACTCTTCCCCCAAGCAGAGACTGAAATAAAAGAGATTGCAGATTCTATATAATTTACTGCAACTAAGACTTTTCATACAGTGGGGAAATACTGCCCTCTGGTGATAAAAGTTTAGGATTGCATCAAAGTGTTGCATAGACCTTGAGTACTTCAGTGAGAGGGTGTGGGCTTGAACTTTATTTCAATTAACTGTTGGCACACATGAACATGAATTATGAAAATACTGTATTTAGTTGAATACAACCCGATACTAGAAAGCACAAAGTTTAATTCAACTTAAAAGCACTAGCACAAATCATGGGGTAGTTTGACTTTCCAGTGTGAGGATAAATGGATCACATTCACTTAAAACATTTGGGTGATTGGGACAGCACATCTTATCATTAATTTTGCCTAAGACATAACATAAAAAACAACCTGATTCCAAAAATGAAAATATGATTTTAATACATTATTTATTGATTTTGCTGCAATAGTGCATCATATTCATGTTTCCATCAAAAGTTTGTGCATTATACTGGCTATGACAATTTTATGACCTTATGTTGAAAACTAACTAGAACTTATGTGATTTTCTTCACATGATGCATTTCAGGGTCAACTTCCAGTTTGATTATTGTCCCCCCTACCTAAGAAATGTCACACCGATGCTTTTCCTTCCTTGGAGCACATTTGATGGTTACTGACCTCTGCAGACCGGAAACACCCCACCAAAGCTGCAGTTTTGGAGATGCTCTGACCCAGTCGTCTAGCACAATTTGGCCCTTGTCAAAGTCGCTCAAATCCTCACGCTGCCTATTTTCCTGCTTCTAACACATCAACTTTGAGGACAAAATGTTAAGTTGCTGCCTAACATATCCCACCCACTGACAGGTGCCATGATAAACCGATAATCAGTGTTATTCACTTCACCTGTCAGTGGTCATAATGTTGTGGCTGATCAGTGAATGTACTTGAAGAGTTATGTATGTGTATGTTAGACGTGTTGTGATTTAAAGGTCCAGTGTGTAACATTTTGGAGGATCTATTTGTAGAAATTGAATATAATATTCATAGGTGTGTTTTCATTACTGTATAATCACTTGTTATGGTTTTGTTACCTCAGAATGAACCTTTTATATCTACAGACACTGCAAGTCGCCTTTTATGGAGCCTGCCATGGTTCTACACTAAATCCTACACACTGAACCCTTTAAGTCTTGAGACAAGATTGGACATTTCATTCAACTTTCAACTTTTACTGCAATTAACAGTTGGTGCACATGAAAATGAAGCCTGAAAATGCCTTATGTTGTTAAATAAAACACCCAAAACACAACAGGAGAACTTCACCACAGCAATACAATCCTCTTAATTTGTTATTTTGCATTTGGTTCTGCATTAAAAACAAACATAGTGGAAGATAATTATGGAAACTGGATGATGTAGCTGCACAGTGTGTTCAACACTTAAGGGAAGTAAACCACAGCCACTAGAATTTTTAATCAGAGTTCGTCTAAAGTGACTACAAACACGTTTTCATGTTTTCTTTTTTAATGTCAAAATTAATTCTAATCTATAAATAAGTATCTAAAATAAACAAAAACAAAAATGAAATATGACAAAATATTGCATAACAAGAGATTTAAAAAATACCTTGACAATGTGAGTTAATAAAATAAAGAAATAAAAATAAAATGCTGCAGGAGGGTTTTTAACTTATATCTAATGAGAGTGAACATATAAACATACGACACCTGACCTTTGACCCCTGACCATAGTTGCATGAGAGAGTATCTTAGTAAAGCCTGTAGCAGCTTGCATTTTCTCACCAGCACAGAGATCATATTGAATCATCTGAGGCCTTGAATCAGTCACTTGTTGTTTTTCCCATTTGTTCAGCCAGCTGAAGTTTGGAGACTATATAAGACAGACCAACTCTACCACTGTACCTTTGTGAAGACGTGTAACTGGACAATGAGGGTTGTTCTTGGTTTGCTGTTGTTGCTGCTCGGTCTGTGTGGCTCAGGGGCTCAGGGGGAGGGTGGAGGCCTCGACGAGGGGGGTGCAGTTGAGGAATCATCAGAGCAGACCACAAAGCAAACTACACCGGACATCTGGGCAGAGGTGAGGGCCCTGAGAGACATGGTGGTGGAGCTCAAGGTGGAGCTGAGGAACATGGAGGCCAGAGTGAAGGACAGTGAGAGCCAGGTGAATGAACTGAAGACTGAGCTGATCTTGACCAAGGTGAAAGTGGAGCTGCTGCAGAGAGAGAATTCTGGTACAGACTGGTAACTTTTCCTGTTGATTCAAGAGTTTGACTGAAGTGTGTCAGCGTCAACTTATTGTGAGCTCCAGCATAAATCTATAAAAATTCCCATGGTGTGGATAGTTAAGCTAAATGTAATAATAAATACAACAGAACTCATTGTGTTATTTAAAATTGAACATTTTAAAATTAATTTAATTAATTAATTCTGTTTTTCAGTCCAAGCCACACAACTGATCTCTCTGGAAACTAGACTGACTGCCACCGAGAGCAAAACAAGTGACCTAGAGAAACAGAATGCAGGTATTTCACTGACAAACATGATTGTTTAATAAGTGTCATGCATGGTTTGTTACTTTCTATGTTATTTTTTTAATCTATGTACATCTGTAAACATAATGTTATTTTCAGGTTAATAAAAAAGGGAAACGAAAAAAGAAATAGCTGAAAAAGAGTTGAAAATATTGCTCATAAATCTGCTCGTAAACAAAGGTTTTATAACATTTCACCTGATGATGGTCAGCAGTATTGAGATCCTTTACTTACTTAAATACTAATATAACACTTTGAAAATATTCTGTTACAAGTAAAAGTCCTGTATTGAAATTGAAATTCCCCCCATGTTACACTATTATATCATTGATTATTATTAATCGTGCATTCTTTGTGAAAGAAGAATATTACTCTTGTATTACTGTTGTTAGGGATGTGAAGCTCATTTTAAACAGTTTTGATGCCGTCACAATTACCCAGAACACAAAGTGACACTTTCACAAAGCTTGTTTTGTTCAAAGTATATTCAAAACTGCAATATTATTATAAAAACATTAAAGTTATTAAGAGGACAAACAGCAAATGTTCACAATTGTGAAGCTGCAACCATGAAATGGTTTACATCAAACATTACTTAAACAATTATCAAACTAACTGCACAGCGCGTATTGTTGTATATTATATATACCTATGTTAACTGTCATTTTTAGTTACTGTTGTACTTTATTTTATGTTAGCTTTATCCTATTGTGCTTTGCACTTTGTTGCATTTAGTTACTTGTTTTATTTTTATGCTAGCTTGATTCTTACTCTTGTATTACTTCTCCACTTTTGTATCGCAATTGTTTCCCTCGGGATAAATAAAGCTTCTTGAATCTTGAATCTTGAATCTTGAAACATTTGCCAAGTAATTATCTGTCAATCGATAATTGATTAATGGACTAGTTGTTTCTGCTACACTTGTATATAATGTTGTGTAGTTAAGTTTATGATAAAGCACTATTTTTATAATCTATCTGAGGTGTAGTGGAGTAGAAATAGAAATTGGCATGAAAAGAAAAGACTCAACTAACAGTGGTTGAGACATTTCACTCAAAACCACAAATGTCAACCTCATGGTGGCGCCAGAGGAAAAGTCAGAGGATCACCAAAGTCAGTAGGATTCAATGTCTGGAGATCACACTGTATATTATTTGCTTTGCATGTTAACTGTTTGATATTTTGATGGCTGCTTTGCTCTGTAATTCACTGTCATTGTATTAACTCCAGACTTGCAGACCAGACTGAGTACCAGTGAGAGTGAACTTCTCGTCAGTAAGTCCAGGATTGACCAGCTGGAGAGAGAAAATGAAGGTGATGAAGTGTGTCAGTGCACTGATAAACTTATTATGAGCTCCAGAATTAATCTCTAAAAATCAGCATGGTATGGATAATTTAACTACATTTAATATTAAATACAACAGAACTTTAATTGCCAGAAGAAAAGACAAGATCACCAACGTCAGTAGGATTCATCCTCTGGTGTCTGTACCAACTTTCGAGGCAGTCCATCCAATAGCTTTGGAGATATTTCAGTCTGGACATAAGTAGTGGACTGACCGACAGGCTGACATCCCTACAGCCGTGCCACCAGCATGGTTAAAAATGAACACATGTGAACAGAAGTAAATGAACTGCGGCACAACTTACATCAAATACCAACGTGCATGGAAAAAGGAGAGCAGTCTTAATTGGTCAAAAACAAAAATAGATATTATTAAGAGCAAAGTTATTGTCAGACTGAGGCGTTTTGGTTAATGGCCCTCTGATCTCTGCTCCTGCAACCTTCCCCTAAAATGAACCAAATGCTTTATTTATTTGCCTTAATCGATTATAACGGTCATCCTGGTTGTTTTAACTAAGGTGATGATTGTACACACACACACACACACACACACACACACACACACACACACACACACACACACCACACGCACACAATTTATTAAGTGTAGTTGAGTTTAATGACATAAATTGACATTTTTGTGTCAACAGAGAAACCAAAGGTGGCCTTTTACACAGCTCTGACTAATTCAGGACAAGTTGGACCATACAACACTGCCATCACACTGAAATACAGCAAGGTCTTCACCAACATTGGCAATGCTTACAATTCATCTACAGGTAATATACTGCAGGTCACATGAGGTCATGGAAATCTACATCAATCAGTTGTTAATGTTTTTAATTTTCTGCTTTTACTCTGTAGGTTTCTTCACAGCACCAGTGAAAGGGGTCTACAATTTCCAGTTCACTGCGCATGGTAACCAAGCAGGTTATATGGGTGTACAGGTGTACAAGAACAACCAAAGGATTATGTTTAATGATCTTTGGCTATCTGATGCGCATCGTGAGTATATCACTAACTCTCTTGTCTTGGAGCTGATAGCAGGAGATGAAATTTACCTTGTTCTCCCATCAGGCCATTCTCTCTTTGACAGTTTAAGTTACCACAACACCTTCAGTGGCGCCCTTCTCTTCCCACTGTAAGGATGTTGTTTGGCTGCTGTGTGATTGATTTGTCACAAACTCTGTTGTTGTTGGTTACACTGTGATTCTTTAGAAAATACTGTACACTTAGTGAATGTATCAAATAATGTGATTCTGAACCTGACTTCCCTCTTGTATGGTCACATGAAAACAACATTCAAATAAATCAAAGATCAAGATCAAAGTGTTTTTATTCTGTTGGTATTATGGACTGTAGGTCTTTATATAGAAATTGAGACAATCCCATGAACTGCTCTGATGTTCACATACTGCAAGTATTTACAGTTTCTAACTAAGTAACAAGAAAATGTCAATAATGTGACCTGTTTGGTGCTTCAACTGTCATTTAAATAAAACCATGTGAATGGTTTTGAGGGGAAGTATCTCTTTGGTGGAACAACTCACAGACATCTGAAACATGGCACTGGGCCCCAACTACACACTGCTTCTTTTTAAGAGGCCACAAGTCAGGAAGGTTGGGAATCACTGGTTTAATCTTTAACAATACATTGTCACCTCTAGAATAATCATATTGTTTTAATGTAAATCCTGTCAGAAATGTCGTGGAGTGAAATGTACAACATTATATAATAATATATCTCTCTGAATTGTGGTGGAATAGAAGAAGCACAAAGTGTAAATACTCAAGATTCACAGGACCTTTTGCTGCTTAAACTGTCTCAGTGGAAATGATGGATCCACTGTGATCACACAGACCTCACAGGGACTCATCACAATGTAATGTCCTGCAGGCAAAAGAATGTCTCCGTTTATACTAGTTAGTGGAGATCTAATGTAGCCAATTATCTCAACATCCTTAAAACCAGCTTCTAGAGCACATATTTGAGGGAATGTTATTTTTTCTTCAACATAGTTGCACTTTTGTATTAAACAGAGTAGTTTTCTGTTTCTTATAGATGAAGGGAAATGTGAAGAAAGTCTACTTAGGAGAACAAAGGGTTCTGAAAATGCAAAGAAACTGTACCTTTGTGCACTAACTGTGACGTAGGCCTACAGAGATACTCTTCTTTTACAAAGACACACTCCCTTGAATATTAATATGAACTGAAAATTGTGTAAACAGTCAAGAATATTCCTATATAAAATATATGAATATTATTTTTTTGGCTAAACACTATATAAAGTAAACAAAAACAACAATACGATACTATGAAATATTGCATAATAAGTGATCTAAACAAAACATTGACAGCATGAGTCAATAAAATGCTACAGGAGGGTTTCTACCTCATGTCTGATGAGAGTGAATGTATGAACATCTGACCCCCTGACCTCTGACCCCTGACCATAGTTCAACAGTCTTATTTAACAAATAATTTATGAGACCAAAAATAATAATTTAACATGTAAAAGATGTTCACAAACACAGAGCAGTTTTTATATTAATTCATAAAATATCAGAGAGAATGAGACAAGAAGTGAGACTGTTTGTCTATGTGTGTGTATTAATAAACAGAGTGCATATACAGCTGTGACTGCATGAGAGAGTATCTTAGTAAGAGTTTTCCATCAGCCTGTAGCAGCTTGTATTTTCTCACCAGCACAGAGATCATATTGAATCATCTGAGGCCTTGAATCAGTCACTTGTTGTTTTTCCCATTCGTTCAGCCAGCTGAAGTTTGGAGACTATATAAGACAGACCAACTCTACCACTGTACCTTTGTGAAGACGTGTAACTGGACAATGAGGGTTGTTCTTGGTTTGCTGTTGTTGCTGCTCGGTCTGTGTGGCTCAGGGGCTCAGGGGGAGGGTGGAGGCCTCGACGAGGTGGGTGCAGTTGAGCAATCGTCAGAGCAGACCATCTCTGACATCTGGGCAGAGGTTAGGGCCCTGAGAGACATGGTGGTGGAGCTCAAGGTGGAGCTGAGGAACATGGAGGCCAGAGTGAAGGACAGTGAGAGCCAGCTGAATGAACTGAAGACTGAGCTGATGGTCACCAAGGTGCAAATGGAGCTGCTGCAGAGAGAGAATTCTGGTACAGACTGGTAACTTTTCCTGTTGATTCAAGAGTTTGACTGAAGTGTGTCAGTGCACTGATAAACTTATTGTGAGCTCCAGAATAAATCTATAAAAATGTACATGGTGTGGATAATTAAGCTAAATTTAACAATAAATACAACAGAACTCATTGTGTTATTTAAAGTGTATTCACCATTCACAAACAAAAATTTAACTAATTCTGTTTTTCAGTCCAAGCCACACAACTGATCTCTCTGGGAACTAGACTGACTGCCACCGAGAGCAAAACAAGTGACCTAGAGAAACAGAATGCAGGTATTTCACTGACAAACATGATTGTTTAATAAGTGTAATGCATGGTTTGTTATTTTCTATTATCATTTTAATCTGTATACATCTGTAAACATAATATTATTTTCAATGTAATAGAAAAGTGAAAGAAATAGGAAAAAAGTGTTAAAAATATTGCTCATAAATTTGCTCATAAACAAAAGTTTTATATAAAATTTCACCTGATGATAGTCAGCGGTATTGAGATCCTTCACTTAAGTAAAAATACTAATATCACACTGTGAGAATATTCTGTTACAAGTGAAAGTCCTGTATTGAAATTGAAATGCCTCCCATTTTACACTATTATATATTATATTATTAATTATTATTACCGCTGCATTCATGTTAAAGAATAATTTAACTCTAGTATTACTGTTGTTATTGATGTGGAGCTCATTTTAAACTGTTTTGATGCCGTCACAATTACCTAGAGACCAAAGTGACACTTTCACAATGCTTGTTTTGTCCAACCAATATTCCAAACTGCCAAATCTGTACTTAAGTACAGTACTTGAGTAAATGTACTTATTTACATTCCTCAACTGACAATAGTGCTAGATGAGAAGTTAAGAGATCAGCAAAGTGATTACAACTCATCCTGAGGGAGAAATCGATTTCAAGACAAACTATCCAACAGTTGTTGAGACATTTCACACAAAACCACAAATGTCAACCTCATGGTGGCGCCAGAGGAAAAGTCAGAGGATCACCAAAGTCAGAAGGATTCATTGTCTGGAGATCACACTGTATATAATTTGTTTTGCATGTTAACTGTTTGATATTTTGATGGCTGCTCTGCTCTGTAATTCACTGTCATTGTATTAACTCCAGCCTTGCAGACCAGACTGAGTACCAGTGAGAGTGAACTTCTCGTCACTAAGTCCAGGATTGACCAGCTGGAGAGAGAAAGTGAAGGTGATTAAGTGTGTCAGTGCACTGATAAACCTATTGTGAGCTCCAGAATTAATCTATAAAAATAAACATGGTATGGAGAAGAGAGCTACATTTAATAATAAATACAACAGAACTGGTTTTGTTATTGAAACTGTTTTGGAAATTAATTTAGCCATTCACAAACAAAAATTAGACTAATTCTGTTTTTCAGTCCAAGCCACACAACTGATCTCTCTGGAAACTCGACTGACTGCCACCGAGAGCAAAACGAGTGACCTAGAGAAACAGAATGCAGGTATTTCACTGACAAACATGATTGTTTAATAAGTGTAACATATGGTTTGTTATTTTCTGTTATTATTTTAATCTATGTACATCTGTAAACATAATGTTATTTTTCTATTTGGTAGATGGTTTGGTAAGTGTCATTCATGGTTACTTTTATGTTATTAATTTAACCTGTGTTAAAGATTGCTGTAAATTTTTCAACATACATTAAAAATAGCCCAAAAAGTCTTTAAAATAGTTAGGGATTTGCTCATAAACCAAAGTTTTAGAGAAGATTTTGACCTGATGGTGGCCAGTGGTATTGATATCCTTTACTTGAATAAATGTACTAATAAGACACTCTGAAAAATATCAATTATGTAAAAAAAAATAATTAAAAAAAAAGCAAAAGTACTCAAAGCAGAAAACAGGCCCCTGTGACAGTAACACTATTATATATTATATTATTAATTATTACTCATGCATTTATGTAAAAGAATGATTTCACTGTTGTAGTTATTGAGGTGGAGCTCATTTTGATTTATTTGTATAGGACAGCAATTCATATTTATTTATGGATTAATGTGCTGATTATTTTTTCAATTAATCAATTGATGCCGTTACAATCACCCAGAGCACAAAATGACACTTTCACAAAGCTTGTTTTGTGTAACTAATATTCTAAACTGCTATATTATTATAAATACATTAAAGTTATTAAAATGATTAAAAGGACAAACAGCATATTTTCACAACTGTGAAGCTGCAACCATAAAATGTTTGAAGTGAAACATTACTTAAACAATTATCAAACAACTGCCAAATAATTTTCTGTCAATCGATAATTGATTAATGGACTAGTTGTTCAGTTGAACATATAAATTGTTGAGTAGTTTAATTTATCACAAAGCATCATTTTTTATAAACTCTTAAGACGTTTTGTCTGTAAAAAATCTTAAATGCATTGAAAAACAAGTACAATATTTCCCTCTGATGTGTAGTGGAGTAGAAGTACAAGGTGGCATGAAAACAAAAGACTCAAGTAAAGTACAAGTACATTAAATCTGTACTTAAGTACAGTAATTGAGTAAATGTACTTAGTTACAGTCCTCCACTGACGATGGCGCTAGATGAAAATCTAATTTTATAATTTGTTTTGCATGTTAACTGTTTGATATTTTGATGGCTGCTCTGCTCTGTAATTCACTTTCATTGTATTAACTCCAGACTTGCAGACCAGACTGAGTACCAGTGAGAGTGAACTTCTCGTCACTAAGTCCAGGATTGACCAGCTGGAGAGAGAAAATGCAGGTGATGATTGTACATACACACACACACACACACACACACACACACACACACACACACACACATGCACACAACTATTTAGTGTAGTAATGTTAAGTTTAATGACATAAATGAACTTTTTTGTGTTAACAGAGAAACCAAGGGTGGCCTTTTACACAGCTCTTACTAATTCAGGACAAGTTGGACCATACAACACTGACATCACACTAAAATACAGCAAGGTCTTCACCAACATTGGCAATGCTTACAATCCAGCTACAGGTAATATACTGCAGGTCACATGAGGTCATGGAAATCTACATCAATCAATTGTTAATGTTTTTAATTTTCTACTTTTACTCTGTAGGTTTCTTCACAGCACCAGTGAAAGGGGTCTATAATCTCCAGTTCACTGCGTTTGGTCACCATGCAGGTTCTATGGGTATACAGGTGTACAAGAACAACCAAAAAGTGATGCACAATGGGGTTTGGCAACCTGATGGGGGTTTTGAGTATTTCACTAACTCTCTTGTCTTGGAGCTGATAGCAGGAGATAAAATTCACCTTGGTCTCCCATCAGGTCATTTTCTCTATGACGATGGAAATAACCACAGCACCTTCAGTGGTGCCCTTCTCTTCCCACTATAAAGATGTTGTTTGGCTGCTGTGTGATTGATTTGTCACAAACTCTGTTGTTATTGGTTACACTGTGATTCTTAAAAAGTAGAAAATATACTGATTTATGTCAGCACTGCTTCCTCCAAGACAAATGTATACATTTATTGAATGTATCAAATAATGTGACTCTCAATCTGACTTCCCTCTTATGTCGTCAAACAACATTCAAATAAATCAAAGATTCATTGAATTTTTTTATTCTGTTTGTTATCATTGGGTGTAGGTCTTCATATAGAAACTTCACATGAGACAAACCCATGAACTGCTCTGATGTTCACATACTGCAACTATTCAGAGGCAAATCTGGATCAAACTATGCTGTAAAGCCTGAGTTAGATTTTATTGATACACTGTATGAAACATATTAGCTGAAGCTGGGATGTGTGCTGGTAAATGAAAGATAACATATCACATATGTTGGTCATTTCACCATTTGTGCCTTTATAGACAGAAGAGAATGGGATAACAAGGTATTTTAAAAAATAAAACACAATGTGTAGTAAAACATCAAAGCATTTGAACAAATCATGGAGTAGTGTCACTTTTCAGTGAGAGGACATGTGCTTGAAGAATGATGTATCTGTATGTTAGACATGTGGTGGTTTAAAGGGCCAATGTGTAACGTTTTTGAGGATCTATTTGTAGAAATTGAATATAATATTCATAGCTGTGTTTTCATTACTGTATAATCACTCGTTATGGTTTTGTTTCCTCAGAATGAGCCTTTTATATCTAAAGACACTGCAAGTCGCCTTTCATGGAGCCTGCCATTGTTCAACACTAAATCCTACACACTGGATTTTTAAGTCTTGAGACAAGATTGGACATTTCATTCAACTTTCAACATTTACTCCAATTAACAGTTGGTACACACGGACAGTAATCATGAAAATGCCTAATGTCGTTAAATAAAACACCCAAAACACAACAGGAGAACTTCACCACAGCATCACAATTCTCTCAATTTGTAATTTTGCATTTGGTTCTGCATTAAAAACAAACATAGTGGAAGATGATTATGGAAACTGGATGATGTGTCTGCACAGTGTGTTCAACACTTAATGAAGTTTATGTGAAATAAACCACAGCCACTAGAATTTTTAATCAGAGTTTGTCTATAGTTACTACAAACACGTTTTCATGTTTTCTTTTTTAACGTCAAAATTAATTTTAATCTATAAATAAGTATCTAAAATAAACAAAAACTAAAATAAAATATGACACAATATTGCATAAGAAGTGATTAAACAAAACCTTGACAATGTGAGTCAACAAAATGCTACAGGAGGATTTTTAACTTATATCTAATGAGAGTGAACCTATGAACATCTGACACCTGACCTTTGACCCCTGACCATAGCTTAACAGTCTGACAGACCTTTGTATTGTCCAAATAAAATGTGTCTTAAGTAAGTATTTAATAAGTTGTCAGTGATTTAACAAATAATTTACAAGATGAAAAATCATAATATTAGATGTAAAAGATGTTCACAAACAGAGAGCAGTTTTTATATTAATTCATAAAATATCAGAGAGAATGAGACAAGAAGTGAGACAGAGTGAAGAAAAAGCTTTTACTCTCTGACTTTAATCAGATAACCCTCAGTCACACTAAAAGGCCTTAGCATCAGAATAAGAATAAGTATATTTCTGTGACTGTTTGTCTATGTGTGTGTATTAATAAACACAGTGTATATACAGCTGTGACTGCATGAGAGAGTATCTCAGTAAAAGTTTTCCACCAGCCTGTAGCAGCTTGTATTTTCTCACCAGCACAGAGATCATATTGAATCATCTGAGGCCTTGAATCAATCACTTGTTGTTTTTCCCATTCGTTCAGCCAGCTGAAGTTTGGAGACTATATTAGACAGACCAACTCTACCACTGTACCTTTGTGAAGACGTGTAACTGGACAATGAGGGTTTTTCTTGGTTTGCTGTTGTTGCTGCTCGGTCTGTGTGGCTCAGGGGCTCAGGGGGAGGGTGGAGGCCTCGACGAGGTGGGTGCAGTTGAGGAATCGTCAGAGCAGACCATCTCTGACAACTGGGCAGAGGTAAGGGCCCTGAGAGACATGGTGGTGGAGCTCAAGGTGGAGCTGAGGAACATGGAGGCCAGAGTGAAGGACAGTGAGAGCCAGGTGAATGAACTGAAGGCTGAGCTGATGGTCACCAAGGTGCAAATGGAGCTGCTGCAGAGAGAGAATTCTGGTACAGACTGGTAACTTTTCCTGTTGATTCAAGAGTTTGACTGAAGTGTGTCAGTGCACTGATAAACTTATTGTGAGCTCCAGAATAAATCTATAAAAATGTACATGGTGTGGATAATTAAGCTAAATTTAACAATAAATACAACAGAACTCATTGTGTTATTTAAAGTGTATTCACCATTCACAAACAAAAATTTAACTAATTCTGTTTTTCAGTCCAAGCCACACAACTGATCTCTCTGGGAACTAGACTGACTGCCACCGAGAGCAAAACAAGTGACCTAGAGAAACAGAATGCAGGTATTTCACTGACAAACATGATTGTTTAATAAGTGTCATGCATGGTTTGTTATTTTCTGTTATTATTTTAATCTATATACATCTGTAAACATAATATTATTTTCAATGTAATAAAAAAGGGAAAGAAATAGGAAAAAAGTGTTTAAAATATTGCTGATAAATTTGCTCATAAACAAAAGTTTTATATAAAATTTCACCTGATGATAGTCAGCGGTATTGAGATCCTTCACTTAAGTAAAAGTACTAATATCACACTATGAAAATATTCTGTTACAAGTGAAAGTCCTGTATTGAAATTGAAATTTCCCCATGTTACACTATTATATATTATATAATGAATTATTATTACTGATGCATTCTTGTTAAAGAATAATTTTACTCTAATATTACTGTTGTTATTGATGTGGAGCTCATTTTAAACTGTTTTGATGCCGTCACAATTACCTAGAGACCAAAGGGACACTTTGCTTGTTTTGTCCAACCAATATTCCAAACTGCCAAATCTGTACTTAAGTACAGTATTGAGTAAATGTACTTAGTTACATTCCTCAACTGACAGTGGTGCTAGATGAAAAGTTAAGAGATCCCCAAAGTGATTACAACTCATCCTGAGGGAGAAATCGATTTCAAAACAAGCTATCCAACAGTTGTTGAGACATTTCACTCAAAACCACAAATGTCAACCTCATGGTGGCGCCAGAGGAAAAGTCAGAGGATCACCAAAGTCAGTAGGATTCAATGTCTGGAGATCACACTGTATATAATTTGTTTTGCATGTTAACTGTTTAATATTTTGATGGCTGCTCTGCTCTGTAATTCACTGTCATTGTATTAACTCCAGACTTGCAGACCAGACTGAGTACCAGTGAGAGTGAACTTCTCGTCACTAAGTCCAGGATTGACCAGCTGGAGAGAGAAAGTGAAGGTGATGAAGTGTGTCAGTGCACTGATAAACCTATTGTGAGCTCCAGAATTAATCTATAAAAATAAACATGGTATGGAGAAGAGAGCTACATTTAATAATAAATACAACAGAACTGGTTTTGTTATTGAAACTGTTTTGGAAATTAATTTAGCCATTCACAAACAAAAATTAGACTAATTCTGTTTTTCAGTCCAAGCCACACAACTGATCTCTCTGGAAACTCGACTGACTGCCACCGAGAGCAAAACGAGTGACCTAGAGAAACAGATTAAGTTTTTAAAATAGTTAGGGATTTGCTCATAAACCAAAGTTTTAGAGAAGATTTTGACCTGATGGTGGCCAGTGGTATTGATATCCTTTACTTGAATAAATTTACTAATAAGACACTCGAAAAATATCAATTAAGTAAAAGAATAAAAAAAAAAAGTAAAAGTACTCAAAGCAGAAAATGGGCCCCTGTGACAGTAACACTATTATATATTATATTATTAATTATTACTCATGCATTTATGTGAAAGAATGATTTCACTGTTATAGTTATTGAGGTGGAGCTCATTTCGATTTATTTGTATAGGACAGCAACTCATATTTATTTATGGATAAATGTGCTGATTATTTTGTCAATTAATCAATCACCCAGAGCACAAAGTGACACTTTCACAATGCTTGTTTTGTCCAACTAATATTCCAAACTGCTATATTATTATAAATACATTAAAGTTATTAAAATGATTAAAAGGACAAACAGCACATTTTCACAACTGTGAAGCTGCAACCATAAAATGTTTGAAATGAAACATTACTTAAACAATTATCAAACAACTGCCAAATAATTTTCTGTCAATCGATAATTGATTAATGGACTAGTTGTTCAGTTGAACATACACATTGTTGAGTAGTTTAATTTATCACAAAGCATCATTTTTTATGAACTCTTAAGATGTTTTGTCTGTAAAAAATCTTAAATGCAGTGAAAAACAAGTACAATATTTCCCTCTGATGTGTAGTGGAGTAGAAGTACAAGGTGGCATGAAAACAAAAGACTCAAGTAAAGTACAAGTACATTAAATCTGTACTTAAGTACAGTACTAGAGTAAATGTACTTAGTTACAGTCCTCTACTGACGATGGCGCTAGATGAAAATCTAATTTTATAATTTGTTTTGCATGTTAACTGTTTGATATTTTGATGGCTGCTCTGCTCTGTAATTCACTTTCATTGTATTAACTCCAGACTTGCAGACCAGACTGAGTATCAGTGAGAGTGAACTTCTCGTCAGTAAGTCCAGGATTGACCAGCTGGAGAGAGAAAATGCAGGTGATGATTGTATCTACACACATACACAAAACTTATTTAGTGTAGCTAAGTTAAGTTTAATTACATAAATTAACTTTTTTGTGTTAACAGAGAAACCAAAGGTGGTCTTTTACACAGCTCTGACTAATTCAGGACAAGTTGGACCATACAACGCTGACATCACACTGAAATACAGTAAGGTCTTCACCAACATTGGCAATGCTTATAATCCAGCTACAGGTAATATACTGCAGGTCACATGAGGTCATGGAAATCTGCATCAATCAGTTGTTGCTCTTTTTAATTTTCTACTGTTACTCTGTAGGTTTCTTCACAGCACCAGCGACAGGGGTCTACTATCTCCAGTTCACTGTGTTTGGTCACAACACAAATGCGATGGGTCTACAAGTGTACAAGAATAACCAGAGTATTATGCATAATGGGGATTTGCAGCAAGATGGGGGTTCTGAGTATCTCACTAACTCTCTTGTTTTGAAGCTGATAGCAGGAGATAAAATTCACCTTGTTCTCCCATCAGGCTATTCACTTTTTGACAATGCAGGTCACCACAGTACCTTCAGTGGCGCCCTTCTCTTCCCAATGTGATGATGTTGTTATTGGCTGCACTGTGATTCTTTAGAAATGCTGATATATATCAGCTCTGCTGCATCCAATACAAAAAACACTCTGTACACTTAGTGAATGTATCAATAATGTGATTCTGAATCTGACCTCCTTCTTATGTCGACAACAACAACAACATTCAAATAAATCAACGATTCATCAAAGTTTTTTTTATTCTGTTTGTTATCATTGGGTGTAGGTCTTTATATAGAAATTGAGACAATCCCATGAACTGCTCTAATGTTCACATTCATATAGAAACCTTACATGAGACTATTCCATTAACTGCAACTTTTTAGACTCTCTAATTCTATACTTTATACTGTTGGACAGTTTAACAATTCATTGTAATTTATAAATGGATCATTTGTTTAAAGAAAAGAGAGAATGAATGAAAGTCTTCACATATACCAATAATGACCTCAAACATGTGTACCTTCCTTTCGACATTGAATGATTTAACTATACAAAAACATAGTTTTTGGACTTAGGGTTAGGGTTAGGGTCATTTCAGCCATTATTACTGAATGTACAGTTTACATAATTTAAATGTTTTTTATTCTTTATTCATATTATCATCAAAGCAATTGCATAATTTCAGCATAATGTATTTTTATTCCAGTTTTTTCAGTGTGTTCTTAAGAAAGGAAAAAAAGAATAGTTAAAAGAGAGCAGAGACAGTACATTTACATATTCTTTTAATGTCTAATATATGTCTTAATGTCTAATAATATGTCTATGACGATGTTATAGTCATACATTTAGTTTGTTGTACTTTTGTTTAAAGCTACATTGCTGCAAAAACAATTTCCCTTGTAGGATAATAAAAATATGATGTGAATTGCCATGAACTGGGTACACACAAAACGTGGACTACACATGTTAGATTAGATTAATTTGATTAGATTTGATCAGATTTGATTAGATTGAGCTTTACTGTCATTACATACATTAAATACAACTACAACAAAATGCAGTTTAGCATCTAACCATATTGTGCAAACACTAACAAAAATGCATTACTTATATATGTAAATATAAATAAACACACAGCAGAATGAACAATAAAGCAGTGGGGTACTGATAGTATAAGAAGGGATGTAACTGTGAAATCTAGAAAATAAACAAATATAGATTAGAAAGGTTAGTGTGAATGAACCCCTCAGTCTTAGCGTACAGTGCATGAACTGTCTAGCACATTACAGAAAAATAAAATAGTATTGGGTCAAGACAAAAGCACAGCTGTTTGGAAACACAGCGCCAAAATGATAGATTGATAGAGTCCTTTTCTGTAGTGCATCCCCACTTTTGTTCAATTTTAAAGTTTTGGAGAAAAAAAGCTGAAATGTGGTAGATTGGGTGCTCCACAGCAATAAAAAAAAAATCAAAAGATTCCCTGTTACAGAATCACTTTAAGGGCCTTTTGCTGCGTAAACTGTCTCAATGGCAATGATGGATCCGCTCGGATTAGATGATGATTACACGCAAAGAAGGATTTTCTAAGAACTAAAGGAGAGTGAGAGAGATAAGTGGATGAGGGAGAGGGTTTCCCTCACAGGGACTTGTCACAGCGTGATGTCCAGCAGCCACAGGAATATCAGATTTGGGAGAATGAGAATCATTCAGAGAGTTCATTTTGCCTGAAGATTGGTTCACTACCTCTTTATCTGTGGAAACCCTGAGACTGTCCCTCCCATCTGTTTTAGCTCCGATCTGTCCCACGGCATTTGGCACACAGATTAGAGTAATAGGAGAGAAGGGGCAGGGCTACATTTAGAGACTTTGGATTGAATTCTAGGCAGCGCTGACTGGACAGGAAGGGCTGCAAAGACATAAAGGAGTGAAATCACGTTCTACACAGAGAGAAAGAAAGAATAGGCCTTTGAAGGGCTTTTGCTGTGAAGGCATTTAAAGGAGTGAAATAATTGGATGCTGGAGGCCTCGTCTCAGCAAAAGCAAGAATGCAAACCCAATTCTTTCCATGAGTGGAGGAGGTAAAGTCGGGTGACAGGGGTTGTCATCCAGTAAAATCACAACCAAGGGGTTTTAACATCTTTTCTTTCACACTACACACCATACATTCAAAATAAACAGAATTAGGGCATTTTTTTCAGTAAAATTGTATTTTGGGAAGAAGCCAAGTTCTACACAGGCACCGGGGGATCTACACAGTGCATTGCTTCTTCAGAGATATTGATCCTTTCATGGTTACTCTGTTCCATTGCAGATGAAAGCGAGCTGCTTCCCTGCTTGGTATCACCCCGGTGAACTTGGCAAGGAATGAATGAATGCCTGAGAAAAAAATGGAGGCAGAACATCTCTATGTAGTCCCTAGTCTTACTCCTACTCTTATTGGGCTATGGTTTAAAGAACAATAGGACAAGGACTGGGCAGGCTTATGCTGATTCATCCTCATTCAGTTTATGGTAATTGACTGGAGCTAGGTTATTTGACGAATATTTCATTCAAATGTGTTACAGTCAAGCTACTATAATTCAGTGGTTTTGGCTTCAACATATTAAGAGTTTTACGTCATCTCCATTTCCTGTCCCCTCACTCAAAAGTCAAAATTCCCCAATGAAGAAAGCTGAGGACATTTAATTAAATTGATGTTTACAGTTTTTACTTACTGGTTCTGGTCACTCTGGTCACTCACTCTGAGTTGTAATACGGTGAAGGGTGTCATTCCCACTCTGGGCAGAAACTTTGCGCTCTGGGTCTTTACAGCAGTAATCACACACCACCAACTATATTGCTGATTTTGGTGAAACTTGATCTTATTTTATGGAGAACATGTTTTCTGGTTTTCCCTCTGATGTCCTGCTACGCCTCAACTCTCAGTGATTCATGGAGTTTCATGATGGATATATGGTTTACATGTTGCTAAAGTAAGTTAAGCACTAACTGCTGTTGCTGTTAGCTAGTTAGCTCAATCTGTGCTTCCCAGGCTGGGAGCTCAGATCACTGGGGGAGTGTTGGTATATCTACACCGGTAGCGCAAGAGCTTTGGACCACTGGGTGTGGAGATTTTCAGGCCAGTGGGGAATGCTGACAGGGATCAGAGCCGAAGTCAGACATCAGACATTATCAAAATCCAAATATTATACGACGAGCTATGGGGATAAGAATTACGTTTTGCGTTGTGTCTCAGTTTATCCATCTGACCACCTCTTCTGTGCTGTAAATGCTGGTTGCCTGGCAACCTCGAAGTAATGACGATAAAGGAAGTGACTGTGCCCGGCTGCTGTTCTCCAAAAAATACTTCCTCTGAAGTCACACTTTGTTATTTACATTGCTGTTTGTGTCCATATTAAACAAATGAAATATAACCATGTTATCAGTGAGCTTTAAACGTGTTGGTAGGTGTATTTTTTGAAAACGTTGGACAGACCCAGGTTATCTGTATCCCCCTCCTTCCTGTCTTTGCTAAGCTAATCATTTGCTGGCTCTAGCTCCATAATCATTCTCACAAGAGTGGTATCATCTCACACTCTGAATGAAAGTGAATAATCATATTTCCCAAAATATTGTAAAAAAGAACTCTCTTCTTTGTACATATCTTTGTCCTAGGTCCAGCCCAGCCACACATGGGGGTCCCACTGGGAGGCTTCTGGTGGTCCCTGATGGGTTAGCTGCGTCTTTAGTCCGGTCTGGTCTTATTTTTATTTTCAAGGTCAAGAACAAACTTTCACAAATGACCTTTAATGTTTATGGAGTGTTTCAAATCACAATCAATGATTGGTCAGTATGTGTGGAAAGATAAGGAGTAAAGGGTGTCTTTCTTGTAACTTTCACATGGTCTTCATTACAATTAACGGCACATGTTGTGCATTCACCATGCATGATGCATAAGGACAGTTGAGCAAGTTAGTTATGAATGTACATATGAGCTCACAAAATACTCACACAAACTAGTTAACAAATTAAAACTGTATTTAATGCAATGCAGAATGTCTGTGTTCAGGTTGGTGTTACTGTATGCTGTCTTTAGCTGCTTTGTTGTTGTTGTTGTTGTTGTTGCAGACTGGTAACAGTCATTGAACAGAGGCGACAGCAGCACTGCATGCAAGCAAACATGCATGGCAAAGGAATATATTTAAACACACTGGTTTATATGAACATGTTGCTGCCCGAGCGGGAGTAGTGTTGCTGCGACTACCAATGAAAACTGCAAATCTGGCCTACCAAGATCCCAGGCTACACCCAACTAGCAATGATGGACCAACAGAATGGATGATAGTGCCACAGGTCGGTAGTCATTAAGACATGTCACTGTCGACTTATTTGGCATTGGGATGATGGTGGACTTTTTGAAGCTTGTGGGGACACCAGACTGGCTCAGGGAGATGTTGAATATGTCTGTGGGAGCATCTGCCAGCTGGTTAGCACAAATCCTTTAGCACTCGCTCTGGTATGTTATCTGGGCCTACAGCTTTATATGGGTTGACTCTGGATAGGGTTCTCCTCACGTCAGCTCAGTCCAGACATAATGCCTGCTCCTCGGGGAGAGGAGGGGATCTTACGTGCCAGAGTGTCATTCAGAGCTTCAAACTGTGCACAGAAGTCATTGAGCGTGTCAAGGAGGTGAATGTGACTGTTGTGTGAGACCTAAAGGTGGCTTCTTGTGCTCTCAGTGTGGCTAGGACCTCAGCAGTCAGCCACGGCTTCTGTTTAACCAGTGTGGTGATGGACTTCACAACAGTGACGTCTTCAATGCACTTCTCTTTGTATCCAGTAACAGTGTCTGTGTACTCCTCTACACGTGTGTGTTGATCGTAAGTGGCTGCCTCCCTGGGTATGAACTTGTCTGTGTTTGCAAAATAGTCCTGCAGGGCTGAGGTGGCTCCTTCAGGCCAGATTCTGATGGTCCTGTGTGCTAGCTTGGAGCGTTAAGGTGGGAGATAGGCAGTGTGAGCTTGACTGTGTTTTACTTGTGTGGACATCAACTTATTTCAGAGATCTGTGCACGGCGTAGGGAGCATACAGATTGTGCACCTTAGAGCTCTCTTACAGTTTTTGTGTTCACTGTTGACATGAACACCAGCATGACGCAGGAGGAGTTCAGCGAGCATCCCCCGTGTTTTGGAATATTGAGGTGACAAATTATTACTTTTAGCTTTTGGGATTTAATTACAAATATTGGGGGAGACAAATTTTCATTTTT